GTAAGCTTTTCTTTGAATTACATTTTGTAAAGGTAAACATTATTTACGAGAAAAAAAACAGGGTTAAAAAAACAGGCTTAAAATACTTAATTTATTTAAATAAGTAAATATACAAACAATTAACTTAAGTAATATTTCAAACAGAGGTGAAAAGGCAACGTTTTAAAGTGATCAGTTCTGGAATGTGTTAAAATGCTGTTTTGAAAGAAATCCCTCTCCAGTAACTCCCACTCTTTTAGAAATTTTCCAAAACTTTCAAAATGTACTGTTCAGAGCGATGCCAGATGCCAGAATTTGTTGGTTCAAGTAACCTTTGGTGCTTTGATGCTTGTTGAAGTAAACAAGCATCTTTTTTTAAGGAGCTGAAAAAGGAAAAAGAAAAATGCCATGGCTGGCTAAATTTGGACAACAGAGATTAAGCCAAGGCAAAACTTCACATGAATAAACTGATTACTTACCTTCATCTGCCTCCGACACAATGTAATCAGCTTTGAACCACACCTCCACGAAAGCCCAATCAGCACCCAGAATTCATCTTAAAAGTTCTCAAAATCCACAACTCAGTCTGCAAGCCAAGGCGCAGGTAATGGTTGCTCTATGTCTGACTTCAATTCTGATGACCTCGATTCAACCCACCTCCATCCCCTTCTCCACCATCGTAGCTAAAGCTTCATCAGAGTACCATTTCTCCCGGACTCTTACTCCGTTCCCTGTTTCCTGCCGAGGTCTGAGCGCCAAAAACGTAAGTAATTGTATCAATAAAATTCATCTAATTGTCTTTTTCTTTCCACGTGAGTTTTTCAAGAACCGGGAATTCTAATTACCAGCAATTCAAGCTATAAAGATTTGATTAAAAGGAAAGGGAGACCTTATAAAATCAGATAGACAGTGGCCTGGTAAAACTGGCCTTGTAAATTCCTCAAGATGTAAGTGACCGTGGTTAGCGAGTCAGATAACAAAGATACACATAGCTTGGCATTCTCTACCCTAAGATAAAAACTGGCTTTAAAACAAAGTTAAGTTACAGGGATTAAGTAATGTCCAAGATGCCTCAGATGTTTTACCTTTCTTGTCATCACTATTCTAATTTTTTTGACTTTGATTTTCTCTCATGGCACCATTGTTTTGAAGTTCAGATGGTTTGGTTTTTTTCTGTGCTGGATGTAATAGAAATACAAGTTTGTAGTACTTTAAGATAGGTTCATATTAAGGCTTCTAGACATCATTCCCAGCAGTGAAGATGATGAGGAAATAATTATTAATTATAGCTTTGAAATAATCTTTTGAAATAAAAAAAGTATATGGCGTTGTATTAGACTGTGTTTAAATATGTCTATAGCCGAAAGGATATGTCCAGACTGTATGCACCCCATTGCAAAAAATCATAAACCTTCCCTCTGAATATTCTCTTGATTCTGTTGCCCCAGTGGCTCTCCCAGTCCCTCAGACTGGGACGGCACCCAGCACCTGTCTGCCCTCAGGCCTCTGTTTGGCTCCATTCATGTGGAACATAACCGAGCTTTCATCCAGGACAATCACAGAGGGGTTCCCCCTGATTGCTCCTGGTTGGAGCTCAAGGTAGCTGGCAAGAATCTGGTTTTTAACTCAGTCCTGTATGAGCCAGGTGAGATTTATTCACCTCGAAATAAAGCATGTCATTTTTCTCTTGTCAGACTTCAGTGTGTGACACTTACCTTTCTTTTTGTAGTACTCATCTTCATATCCATCTGAAGAGTCTGTGTGGTAGTTAAGCAGCTCATTCTGGTAGATTGCAGCATAGTCTACTTGTTTGTTTTTAGATTTTTTCCCTTTTTTCTTTTTTTCATCATCACTGTCTCCAGAATTCTTCTTTTTTTTCTTTTTCTTTTTCCTTGATTCCTCCTCCTCCTCTTCTTCCTGCTCATCAATCAAGGGCTCCTCAGCATCATCTCTATGAGACTTCTTTTTCTTCTTCTTACCATCTTTGGACTTTTTATCTTTAGACCCCATCTCTTCCTCTTCCTCTGGACTCTCTATTGACAATTTCTTTTTTTGCTTTTTTTTCCCGTCGGTCACTTCCTCTTTAAGCCTCTCAGGCTTATCCTTTTTGGGTTTGGTCGTCGATTCATTGTTGTTCTGCTCTCCTTCAGTGTCTTTATTTGAAACTGTAGCATCAGTATCATTATTTGTCTTCTTTTTCTTCTTTTTCACCTTATCTTCTTCTTTTTCCTTCTTCTCTTTCTTTGGCAGCTCCTGTATCTCGGAGTCTTCTGTGCTCTTGTGTTTCCTCCGACTCTTACCTCTTTTTGTGGTTTCCCCATGGGTCAAACCGTGGCCACTCTCCTTTGAATTTGGCTCACTTTCCTCCACTTCGTCATCAACCTCTTCGGTTTCCTCTGAAGCTGTGGATTTTTTCTGTTTCGACGGCATCTTTTATTTATCCACTTCCCTGGCCTTTAGTTTCATAAGATCTGCCTTGAGTTTCTAATGGTGTAAGACAATTCATTTGACCCTTGGCTGCAGACAGATTCTGAGACTTTGAAACCTGTGGGATCCCAAGCTTGTAAACCTGCAGATATATTGACTCCAGACACTGATGCAGGGGAATCTCTACCTGATGGTGTGCTACCTGGGTGGCATATGAACATACAGCCTACAAACACCACTCATGAAAAATTACTGGCACCTCAGTGGTCACGTGATTCACAGGGAGAAAGCCCTGTGAAAAAGGAGCCTTGTCCAAAGAACTTATCCTCTGCCACGGTAGCTTCCATTATTTATGGTGTCAGGATCGCTTTACGGGCCGAGTGCATCTCGCTTTTGGCTGCAGACACACATACAAATGCATATGCACTCTTTTGAACCTACTTATCTTTGTTAATGTATAGCGTGTAAGAGAAGCTAAATTCAGGTGAAAAAAAAATAGTCCCAGGTCTAGTTTTAAAGAATATGTATGACCAAGCAAATAAAATGTAATATTTCGGATTAATGGCATAATCTCTGGAGCTGCATGGCGGTCTGATCTCAATTGGACCTCTGTTCATGTCTGTGTATCTCTAATTTTTTTCTGAAAAATGTAAATTAAAAAGAAAGAAATAGTTTCTAAATCTTTATGTTTGCCTTGTTAATCATTGAACTGAAATAATATCCGTGATTCAAAGCTAAGATGATTTAAATTTTATAAAGATTTTACAAAAAATTATTACCAGTTTATATAGACAAAAGTGAAACAAGAGATTGTATTTTATCTTTAAAAAATAAACTAGATTTGCATATTTTTTCAATATTTTAGAGAGGTAAAAAACTGCCCTATTTATATCTTATATGCACTGCTGGCAACCACATGTCCCCCTGACAATGAGCCATATCATCCCATTAGTCTTATTGCTGCTATCTGACACTTGGTGAACTGTTGCATCAAGGGGAAGGGCAGACCTTGGTCATATTGATCTTTCAACATCAAATTACCACACCAAATGGATGATAGGAGACCTTGTTTGCCTCAGTGAAGAATATGCAAATAGACAAATTGCTCTTTCATCCTATCAAAGATTAAAATCATGGTGTAGGTAAACTAAGGTCAGTATTTAGTAGGATAATATAAAACCATTTAGACCCAAGATGTTCCTTTTAAAAATGTGTAACACATACACCTAATATTACCTTTTAGTGCGACAGTAAAAACAGTATTTATTTTTTTTTTGGCCGTATAGTTACTATCAAGAATATAAATGTGAATTTTTGACTTTGATTTTATTTAAGTACCTTCATTTTGTATTTCACAACACAGTGGCAAACAATAGCGATTGGATTTTCCCTGAGCCTCAAAGCTAGTAGGTCATCTTCACACGTGTATGAAGTATGTAAAACTGAATTTTTCTTTACTGTATTTAAAAAACAAACAGAATTTGTTGTAAAACTCCTTAAATGTGCCCATATATTATTAGCCAAGTTATCTCTAAAATAAGGCTATTCACATTTTTTATATTTTTCATAAAACTTTAGTTAAATGTAGTTTCATTTTTTAATCTTAAAGTATTAAATGTTGCAAGTAAAGTGTCTTGCAAAAGTATTCTTTCTTTTACTAACATTTTAAAAATATATATGTATTTTTTTTACTACTACACTACACCAAGAAATACAGGAGAAGAACATAGGCTGGATTTTAAGGTTGGACTTCTGCAACATCTGTTAAACAGCTGTCCACTTGGGAATATAGTAATCAGCAGAGTTGTTCATCACCAAAGAAAATCTGTTTTTTCTAGTGTTTAACAAAAAGGGTGGATCTGGCTCTGAGTGATTGTTTACTGTATGAATAACCATAGACTGCCAAAGTTAAACATATCTGTATCTTTATTGTCTAATCATCCCTATTACACAGTTATTATATCTAATAAATTTGCAAACACTACACACTACTGAAAATAAGCAGAAGGTAAAGGAAAAGGCTAATATTAAAGGGGGACGAGGGCCCCCTTTGTCCCCCTTTTATTAGCTTTCCAGAATCCGTTCAATGTATTAATGCATTTGAGGCTTCCTTTAAAATAGCAGCAGATAAAATGAATAATAACCAATGCAGAGATCTTAAATGCAATTAAAACAGTAAAGCCTCATTAGGTTTACAGTGAAAAATGAACGATTACTCAAAAATGTATTAAAAGCAGCAGCACTGGAGCAAAATGGGTTAGCTCAGATATCATCAGGAGAGCAGGCTACGATGCGGGTCCGAGCCAGGACAAAGAGTCATAAAACTTTGTCCTAAGATGGTAGCCACCACTTTTATGTGTGGCCAAAAATAAGGTAGCAATGGTTGGCAATCCAACTGTAGCACCCTGACTCTTTTGACACATCAAAAAATAAACAGAGACAAAAACACAGTGCAGATCGTTTCCAAGGGGGAGTCGCTCTGCTTGCATTATTTGACATTTGATATCCCACATGTGTATTCCTCTACCTGAATTTGGAGGGTGTAAAACACATGATATGGAACCATTATTTCTGCTCAAACTCAAACACAGTTGTAGTTTTGAGAAAACTGGTTTATTAACAAACACACTCAATATAAAGAATGTTTAAGAGTTAAGAAGCACTGTAAATGCCAACATACAGTACACCTCATTGCATTACACAGACCATGTTTTCATGCCTGAATCAGTCATGATTGTTTTCAAGCAAACTTATTCTGAAGTCCATTTTGGCTTCATTAACTCTTTATTTGTGAGCGTTAATTACTGAAGAAGTCCATTAAAATTATAAAAATGTTTAACTTCAAAGAAAACCAACAGGTTTTCAGCTTAGCTTAAATAATGTGGCAGCAAAACAAAAAATTACAGCTATCTAATCTTCATAAAGTACAAAAAACAGTGTAAAATCGAACAGCAGTAAAATGTGAGTTTTTTTTTTACAAATGCAAAGCAAGTCTATACAGTTCAAAAATAAAACATCCCCCAAAAAAAAAAAACTTATTGCAACAAAAAAAAGGGGCAAATTACTGCGTTATTGATCATATGAGCCAAGAAGGACACATTTGTTTTTACATTATAGCAAGTCTAGAATGTTGTTTAATACAAGAGACAAACTTACATTTCATTCAATGGTAAATTCATTGTACAGGAGGGCACAAGGGTGCATCGCATAATGTCCAGTGGGGTTTGAGATCTCATAAGGCAAAATTGGCTTAAGACAAGATAAACAGCTGGATTGTTTCACAGCAGTCTAGTAAAAGTTCTTGCCCTAAACCAAAACAAACACACAACAGTGTCTCATGATAAATATTGGGGTATTTTTACAGGGAGAAACAAGGCCAATGAGAACAGGCCTCTTTGAATAGAATGTGAAAATACTTACACTGTCATTCTGCTGAATAGGAAATAGTTTACAAAAGTAGACAAGAAGATGTTACAGTTGTATATTCAGATATTCATTTAATAAAACCAGTGTCCAAGCTTGTTTGACACAAACATTAAGCTGCCACACCCACAGACTGTCCAAGAGAAAGTTAAGAGACGGGGCACAAACAAATCCCCAGTGAGGCCCCATGTAAGCAGAAATACCTGTGTGATCAAGTACAGTGGGGCCACTTTAAAAACATCACAGAGACAACCATTTTCTGAAGATCAATTTTTAAAATGAAAGACAAGCATCCTATAGATAGAGACGCAGAAATTGCCACAGTGACATAACAGTAGTAAAGGATCTTTGAAAAGAGAAATGTGTCCAAGCAAGCAATCTTCACCATATTGTTGAACTAATTAAAGCAAATGAGTTTGTACTCCCATTGCCAAGTGTACTACCCTAATGAAGAAAAACAGGTTTATTTAAAAAGCAGAAAAAGGATAGATCATGAGCAGCGCCCCGTATGTACATTGATAATCCCACGGGTGTGCATGTGAATGAAGTTAAATATTTCATGAGGCATAGCGTGGAAGCCAGGCCTGGGCTTTACATTGTCATAGTAATGGTGAGTGATGAAGATTCCTGCAGGGTTCATTGGAAACGCCCAGAAACCGTAGAGGTGGACCTCTTCGCAAAGCTCCAAGGCAGCAGTCACGAGCATTAGGCCGCTGCTAAGGCGTTTTGCTCTGACGCCCTGCACCGCCCAGAAACGCTGTACATTAAGGAGATACTGCGGATGAAAGAAGAACACGCCTCTCTGGGAGTCAAAATCATCCAGCATGTACTTGACTCGAAAAGAAACATCAGTATTGCGGGTGTTGTAAAAGGCAGGTAGCACCACTGATGAGTTCTCATAGTTCTGGAGAACTTCGTAGAATGGACGCCGCCATTTCTCTAGCTTCTGAAATCTGAAGAGAAAAGACAACAAATAAACGAAAAACATAACGATAAACCAAAAAGTAATGTGTATATGGAAAAGATAAACAATGGACTACAAAAGTTTCAGAGCCTTTGAACTTCTCACATTTGGTTAAGGGGCAAAAACAAACTACAGTGTATTTAATTGGGATTTTATGAGCTTCAACAACACGAGGTAGGAAATAAATTTTATAGTGTGAGCGAAATGCATTTAAATAAAAAACTTATACATTTTAGAATGTATTCAGACCTCCTGAGACAATACAAAACACCCTTTCCTTGTGCTAGCTAAAAAAACAAAAGAAACAAAAATCATCTCCAAAAATGATATATCATACCTTTAATCACCATTGGGTTCTTGGGCTCACATTGATCTGTCGTTCTAGTATTCAGATTTTTTAAGGTTTTTATGATAGGTAAACAAATCCACTTATGGTATCATCTGATCACAGAACCTGCTTCCACAGGTATGATGTATCTCTTAAATAGCTTGGTGCAAACTGGAAACAAGACTTCTTAGGGCTTCTGTTTCAATTGTTTTTTTGCTTACTACTTCTCTAAAATAATTTGCATCATGGACTGCAGGAAAAAGAGCTATCCTGTGGACAGATTCTCCCTTACCTGAGCAGATGATCATTGCAATCCTTCTCAAATTACCAGAGGCCATTTGGTTGCCTCTCTGACTAAAGGGGCTTTCAGACTGGATGCGGCAAGTACACAACTTCGCACTAAGATGGCATGCCATAGCCCAAGCGCCCCCCCAAGCAAGGTCCGATGACATGGTGTCATGTCTGAAAAGCCTTTAATGCTGTCTTTTTCCAGCACATGAAGAAAAACAGTTCTCCCAATACTGTTCCATTTATCAGAGGATGATGATGAGTATGTTTAAGAGATTTAATACAATAAAATTAATGGATGAGAGAAAGAAGAAAATTTGATTTACAGGGAAATTAAAGGTATAGTGGAGGATGTTTTTTTCTGGGTGGATCATGGAAACAAGTGGTCCTCCCAATTATTCTGATAATATGTTTACGTAAGGCCGTCCTAAGCGCTCATCCCCATTTTCACTTACCTGGGGTGAGTCTGACATAGTGGAAAAATTGCAAATCTTCTTTTGGAAAGTAAGCTTGTATGATGCAAACAACAACTTTTAAATAGTGTGCACGAGGAGAAATGGGCTTGCTGCTCTAACACACGTTTGATAGGCGTTCCCTCTCGGGAGTGGGTACAGGGTTGTGCATGTGCATTTTTTTTTTTAAGTGGAGAGGGCAGGTCTTTTCATAAATTTGCGAAAATCCTCCACTATACCTTTAATGCTTGTGGAAGGTTGTGTAATCTTGTCTGTCTAGTATTTCCAACATGCATAGCTTAATACCTTTCTGTGATAATGCTTGGATTTATGGTCACCAGGTCCGTTTTTGTGCCCACATCTGCTGAGTATTTCTCGTTGATCGGTGGTACATTGCATCTGCAAACACAGAATGGAAAAAGAAAGATTTTCTTTAGATTGTATACATTTTTCTTTTCTCTGAAACAAAAACTTTGGGGTGCTAAATACCAAGACATTCTAAGAGAAATTCTAATGAAATACTCATTTTCCCCAGCTAGTTTTTACACTTCCAATATCTTGTCCTGGTGTTTGCTCAAGTGAAAAAGGCATCATAAAATATTATAAATGTCAAAGCTTTTAAAACATCAGGTTAGCACACTAAAATACTATTAATTGATGTGTCTAAAAGGAGAAAAGCTTAGCAATTATGAACGTTCAACATTATAAATGTTTATTAAAACATAACAAGGGCAAACAAATGATAGGATAATTGAGGAACTAGCGCCGAGAGATAATAACCTGTTTGGGATATTTTGGTTATTCCATATGAAGGTATTGACTAATCCAATAAAAACATTTTAAGGTTAAAATCATAATATTATTTGATATAGGAATTTAAAAAATACTTTATGGATTCCAAAGGAAATTGTAGCAGAATTACATATTGTGGATTTTTTTTTTTCAGTTTTTGTACACGTTGATCGCTGTTGGCAGGAAGGATGTTCCGTAGCTGTCTGAATGATAGAAACTTTTGACTGAAGGCGCTCAGTTGTTGTTTTACAGTCTTCTGAAGAGGATGTTGATGGCTGTCCATAATGTTTTCATTTTATAGAGAATTCTTCTTTATAAAATTATATCCAGAGGCTCTATACATGGGGTCACCAACTTTTTGAAGTTGAGAGCTTCTTAATAGGTACTGAGTCATACAAAGGGCTACCAATTCTGACATATAAACTAGAAGAGTCACCTGGACCTCATGTATGATAAACATATTCTTAATGTTTCTTTTAGATCCACCCCTTTTCAGAATCTGTAAATGCAAGTATGATTGTAAAAGAAGAGCAACAGAATAAAATTTTAGACTGTTGGTTGATGCTATCTTTAGGAGAGACTTGAGGGTATCTCATGTAGTCCTAGGGGTCGCGCTGGTGCAGGCTCGCATCATGTTGGTAACCACTGCTGTAGAGGAGTTCCTAGAACAGAGCCGGCCTTCTTTTTCAGCTTGATCAGCTTCTCAGATGCTTGTTTCGATAAGATGCCACAAAGTGCCACACACCTCCTATAGTGTTCTGCTGGAGCTTGCTTTCCAGCGTTTTCCTGTATGCTTCCTTGTTTTCACTTATCTTACCTCTAAGGTTACTTCTGTACACTGTCTTCCTTCCTGAAGTATTTTTTATTTTTTTTTAAGGTTTTGCAGTTCCTTTGTATCACTGGTGATGCGGGCTGTACTATTGGCAAGGATCTTGCTATTCGGTGGAAATCGTGTTATTTACATAGAGGTCAATCAACCGCTCACAGTTATTGCACTGTAGCCTAAAAATTACCTTACAAGACTTGTTCGGCTTCCTGTGAACATCTTCTGCCAGTTATCTTTAATGCAGGTTGTCTCTAATAAAGGGGCTTATACAATGAGCAGAGAAAAACAAGATTGTGATTTCCTAAGAAGGTCTTACTTTGAAGGTGTATTATGCCCTTGACATTTGCAAAAATAAAGTCTAAGGTTTTGTTTTCTCTGGTACAGCAGCTGTGAAAAACCTTTGGAACGTTTGCAGTATAGCAGAGAGCAAGGTGTGATTGAAATCACCAGGTATTGCCACAAATGTATTTGGCTGTTGTTTTTGTAGATTATTAGACTTAGACTTCCTTTATTGTCATTGCACAAAAAACACAGGGTGAATCTTGACAATGAAATGTCGATTACTTGGCTACCAGTGTTACAGAGCTGGGACCTTATTCCTGCACAATAAATATGTTTTCTATGAGTAAGAGCTAGCTATATGATCAGCGGGAAGTTGAATTTTAAACAGTTGCCAAAACTATACTGGAGTACTCTTTGGGTAAATATTATAGACTAAAACAATTGCCGATAGTTCAATATCTGGGCTACAAAATTTCACAGTAGCATGTCCTGAATGACATCATCTGTTGTTCACAAGCACTGTTAACCCCCTTGAGTTTTCCAGCCTTCTTTAAATATCTGTCTGCTCATATGGTCAAAAAGTCAGCCAGAGAGACACTGGAGTTGGGTATATGTCCCTGCAGCTACGTTTAAATAAAACTCATAATACTGCATTCCCAATGTTCTGCATGAGACCTTTCTAGGGCTTAGACTTCTCTAAAAAATTTCAGTCAAGCTTAAAGCAATTTAGTTTTACTTTCCCCAAAAAAATGTCTAAAAATGTCTTGTGTAAAACACAATGTAAGGCTAAAATGACAAACAAAATGGATTATTTCCTGCATACCTGAGAACAAAATCGGCTGAATCGATTTCCTTTCCACATTTGGTGTTCTTGATGATACCTCCATTTCCAATGACAGCACATTTTTTGAACTGGGATTTGGAATATGGCATATCCTAGATTTTAGAAACAAAGTAAAGAGGAGCTTTACAGGGGGAAAAAAAAACATACACACCAAAAAACCAGGTGATAAAAAGTGAACAAAAAAAGAAGCAAACAGGACATCTCACATCTGGGAACATCTTGAAGATCTCTGAGGTAATAGGGAGGATGCCACTGGTGTCCACCTCATACCTCAGCTTGGACCCGGCAGGAGTATTTCTCTTGGTGGTGAACAAAAAGGATGGAGCATTACAGCAGCGGGACAGAGACATCCTTTTGAAGAAAATAAAAAATATTATAAAGTTACTTCAGCTAAAAGTGAATTGATGATTCCACAATCTTTATACAGAACACCAAATTTGAAAAAATGAAGCCGTGTCTACACTATTTCCCAAAATAGTTTTTGTTCCCTTGTTTCTATTCCTTACTGATCACCTTGGTATCTCAGGTTAAAAGTTCAATGCTAAATGCATGGTCAAAGAGTACCATCAAGTGGGTTAAATACTGTAAGTATGAACCAGATAAATATAGAAAATAAATTTAATGTACTGGTAATGTAGTCACTCCTGGCACCTGAGAAATCTTCATTAGTGCAGACTGAGTGTATGCACAGAGTTGCATAATATTATAACATAACTTTCCACTGTTTTATCATATTGATTAAATTTTGGAAAATTATACAACAGTGGTGTCTATATGTGCGATCTATCACATCCGAAAGTAGCAAGGGTTATGCTTCCGAGCCTTTAAATATGTCCAGAGAAATGGAGCTGAAACGTCAGATGAAATTATGCATGCTACAGAATAATATGCTTAGAAAGTGATGTTGGGGAATAATTTTTTTAAACTGAATATCTTCATACACATTTTAAGTAAAAGGCATACATGATGTAAAAGAACAGAGTTAGAATAGAATAGAAAAAAATTTGAATAACCAGCATGTTTTATTAGAAACCTCTTCTTTACGTTTTCAAATAAATATTTTTCTTCAGAACTTACAAATACTGTTATTTTCTCTCTCAATGCTGTTTTTTAAACATTATCAGAATAAAACCAGGAATTTAAATTATTATAGAAAGTATCTCTTATTTTGAGAAAAACTGGATAAAAAAAATCTCTATATTTGATAAAACAGGCTTTGCAAATACCTACCTTCAGATAAGCAGTTATTCTGCTGGATTAAATGAAACTTACCTAAAGTTGCTGGTCTCTTCTTTGTTCTGCTCCCATTTGCAGACCTGCAGATTTCGCCATCTTTCGCACAACTCTGAGGTTTTTACCCTGGTAGACACAATTCATAGATTTAGGACTGATACTTAGCACAGCAGTAAAATGTGAGATTTTAACAAATGCACTCAAAAGATTTTTTGGACTTTTCAAATGGTGACTTTTTTCCATTAGGGTGCTTAAGGTTAAAAGGTAGGATTCAATGGAAAGTCTATGAGCAACCCAGCAGTAAATAAAGGCCTTTTGTCCAAGAGAATAAATTTGACAGAAACTTTTAAAATCTCAAATTTGTGCATAAAGGCTGAGTGAATATTAATTCTATTCATAGTAGAGGGGGAAAAAAACTATTTAGACTGTTTTTGGCACCTCTGGTATATTGTAATATAGCTCAGCAGTAATCAGCTACATTATGTAAATATTAATTATAGTAACCCGTAGAAAAACACTTAAAAAATACAGTAAAGGCTCAGGCAGAATAAAAGTCCTTAATGTTTAAAAAAAGACACATCATATACAGTACTACATACATTTAAAGGGCATATATCAGAGTATTTGAAATCTAAAAAAACAACTAAAAGGTTTGAGAGTATCACATATACACCTTTATGTAAAATATTAAGACTTATTAAAAGAAATGAGACAGATAAAAACAGATTTAAAAAAGTGCTACAATTCTTTAACTTGTGAACTTAGATTCTAATCTCATATCTGTCTGAGACGGCCATTGTTTTATACATTTATGCATGAGTTTGGCTCAGGATCTAACAAAATCACTCTTCAGCAAGTTACAACAAATTTTTTTGCTGCCTAATTCTAGCTTTTATTCTCAGATTTTGAAATACATTTCTTCACTTCTACATGGACACTGAAATGATTAATGTGAGCTATAACCCCTAACACAGATTAATTGGGAGGGTGTATTTAGGCAATATCATGTCTGGATTCCATTTATGTGTAGCCAGGATATTGAATATCTTAAAATCAGCTTTGCTTTTTGTCAGCGTTGTTTTACACATTGTACATTTTCTGCATATGTCAGATAAATTGCAAAGTTTAATGTAGAGTTGCTTTGAGGATTGTTTTTCAATTTCTGTGGTTATTTATGATTAGACTCTATTTGGCTAAAAGATATGGATGAAAAAGTAAAATGGCAAATGTTGGTACATGAAAACATGACAAAAGTGAACACATAAAAACTCAAAATCGGATTAACATGACCTGGTAAAAATTATTTAGAGATTATGTCACAGTTTCACAAAAGTAATTCTAGAGGCTCAAGAGCTCAACTAAAGTGCACCAACTGTGGAGCATTAAGAACAGTTTTGGTCTGCATGCTTTGACCTATGATCCTTTTAATCGGTGTCATCCAATAGTTAGATAACAATCAAGTTTGTCTTTCTGTGTTTGCGGACATATTTTAATCAGTGTATTTCCTGGGGCTGTTGGTTCAAACATTATAAGATCTTTCTTGCCTTCAAAAGTTGCAGCAACCTTTGAGTTTAATTTCTCAGGCCAAATACACTTGCTAACACTCTATGTGGAAATTGGATATAAAGCTTTAAAACAAACCAATCTAACTGCAGTAGCATAAACTCCTGCTAAAAATTTAAGAAAGTAATTTATTACATTTATATTCTTAAAGACATTTCATCCCATAGCTGCCTGTAACACTGAGAACTGTGAGAGAAAAGGCTAGATGAGAATCTAAGTTTATCCTAAGTTTATCCTTCCATTCCTCGGCCATGCCACTGGACAGGAAATTAAAGCAAATGTTAAAGCTCAGAGTCAGAGAAAAGCAAGGAGTGGCTTTCAGGGGCAAACAAACATATGTAAAAGTAACATACTTTAAGGTTTAAATGCACATCTTGTAGTAACTGTAAAGGTTCCTGATAGAATTGATGATTGATAATCGTCTAGAAAGGAAATAAAATCACACTTCAGGTTGTGAACCATATACATTGACATGATCACAGACAGCTACTCACATTGTCAGGACTTTGACGTCCATAATCTCCTGTCGGAGCTCTCTGCAAGTCGTTGAGTTGAATTCAAACGCGCCGCCATAATTTTCCAAATACCTGCAGGAATAAATACAGTCATCCTCTATCTACACCAACTGACTTAAAACAACCAACAGTATTAACAATAAAGTGGTTACCTTTTATATATATACATAACAAGGTATACAATTTAACAGCAAAACAAGCATTAAGCACAATATGTCTAGTGTTTGTGAGATATAAAAAATAAAGGTAGCAATTTGGGATGAGACAATGACAGAAGTGATGCAGCTGATTTTGGGCATCACAAACAGGACAGTAGTATTTTGCTTATTGGACACTTGCACCAGATTCTAAAACATCTTAGACTAAACCAATGTCATCCATTTAGTGAGGAAATATTAAACTTCTCATATTTGCACATGCTAAATTAGATCAAATAAGACTTGCATGATATTAAACTGATATTATGGGGTTTAAATATGTTTCTGTTTTTTTTCTCTTATAAATAGGAGTATTCAGAAAGAAAATAGGATTGATTTAAGCTTATTTGGTTAAAATGGGAAATGTTATAAAAGTGTAATGTCTAGTTAATATGTGTATTGGTGTACCTGCATTTGTACTAGCTGCCTAAAAGGTATTTTGTGCCTTAAATTTTGATTTTGTGCAGCTTTCCTCCACTGAAGACATGAACACATACACAAGTGGTCATGCAGACAAGGGATCATATGAAGGATTAGCAACCAAGATCTATTTGAAGTAAATAAACTACAATTAAAGAGCATCCTGCTTGTCAGATTATTCAATAATTCAGCCTAGCTGTAACTCATACTGAGGTTTGAGTAAAAGCCCTGCAGCAAAATATTTTTGGAAATGAGATCAGTATGAGTCAGTCAAAAATTCCATCACTGTGCATGTATGCTTAGGAGGAAATAAAGCAATGTTGTCAGTTCAAACAAGCTAAGGGGAAACAACCTATATTGTAATATTTATAGCTCTATTTTGCTTGTTATAAAAACATTATTTTAAAATCGCACAGAGCCAGAACCTCTAGGGTATGTTGCATATTGAACAACATTGTCATTTTATACTAATTTTCCTATTTGTCTTATCTTCCCTCTTTTTAGCATTCCAAGTATAAATACTACAGTAAGTAGCTAAATTCAAACCAGTTTTCACTGTTATCTGAAAAATTTCCATTTACTTTTCTTTATTAACTTTTTAATCTGTAGGGCCTTACCATGCCTGTTTTGCCATTTGTACAATATCCCATTTTTTTTGCACAATTCTCTACTGGAGGCGCCTTGACTGATGATAGTACAGTGGAAATAAGAGAACATTTAAATATAAGATTTCTGAATATAATTGGAAGCATGCATTTCTTTTAAAAAAAATGCACTGCTATAAAAATGTGCAGGATGGCTGTGGATGGTGCAACTATCAGCAATCTTGGCTTTGTAATGCCAGTAGGGGCTCTCTGTGGTGCAGGTGTATGATTAATATCCATTTTCCCTGCTTCCCTTTAGCAAGCTACAACATGTGCAAAAAGTTCTTCCAGAGCTATCAAAAGGTGTGCCGTACGGGTCCTACTAAAGCTTCTGTTCACAACATCTCCAAAATGGAGCCTAAGTCTAAAGCAGCATAGCTCTGTATAAAAAAGGTTAAAGTTCAATTCAGTTTATTTTTATGGTGCCAATTCATAACACATCTCATCTCAAATCCATTTACAGAGATAATTCAATCAGACCATTAGTCAGACTGGTAAAAAGGTTTCTATCAAGAATTAAAGCAGAATTAGCAGAATTAGTGAAGGTAAATGCATAGGCAAATATGGTTTGTGTTTTTACTGCTGGTCAAGAAACAATAATGCAGAGTTGCAAATAATTTTAGAAACAGTAATGTATGGAATGGCAGTGCTGACAAAATTTGTGGGTGTGGTTTTTACTTATGGGCATAGTGAAAAATGCTCTGCATCATGACTTCAGTTAAGTCATAATAAAATAAGGTTTTTATATCAACAAAAATAGGTAAATACATTTTCTGCGTAATACTCAACATTTCAGTCATCTCTACTGTCTCAGTTAGTGCAGGTTTCCCAAATAAACACAAGTCATTTTCTACGTGATTGATTCTGTCATCATTAATTTGAAATGTTAAGCAAGATTATCTATATGAGTGTCTTGGATGTGATAGAATATACTGTTGTTTTGAATATTGTTTGTCTTTTTGGTGGGTGAGGAAACAAATTACTCTATTTTTCCCTTATTTCCAATAAAGCAACTTGTTTTTACATTAAAATTGTTACACAGTTGTTAATGCAGTGCATTATTATGCATCCCGTCCCCACAATTAGGTGAAGACCTCTAGGTTGGATGCATATTTATTAGTCAACAGTTTCCTTATTCTTAAAAAAAAACAGGTAATAATTTGATAACTTTTTGTCAATTTGAACCTAAATTCAAAATTGTTCCGTTAAACTAAACAACCGCACTGATGTTAAATAGAGAAACAAATATGATTCAAAGGTAAAGAAAACAGATTCTTATCCAGATAATATGGTTTAAAGTTGTGCTAATAGATATCAACCGTAAGTCATAATGTTAGAGTTAAATTGAAATATTTTATAGGAAATGATCCCTTCATAAATCAATGTAAAATGGTACTTTTACAAATATCAGTTACATGTCGTTACTACATGCATAACCGTTGGGGAATGGCTGGATTTAGCTGCAAGAACAATGTCTGGTTTTTTACATGAAGGCTGGAATTCTTCAAATATTAAATAAGACATGAGTGTTAAAAATATGGAAAATGAAAACATATCACCTGTACGTCCGGAGATGAAAGACTTTAGTGATTCAAAGAAAGATACAAAGGAATGCAACGTGCAATACTTCCAAAGTGAAGCATCAAAGGAACAAGATGCTGGGATGAAATGGAGCAAAAACAGAAATAATGAAACTGGTTGTCTACATCCACCTGATGATGCAGTGTATTTCTGAGGTTGTTCTGGGTACATAGATTAGACTTGAGACATTGACCCGATTTGACCTTTTTTTTGTTTGCTTGTTTTAGCTAAGATGATGAAACCTTTGCAAGTGTGCTCTGTTCAGGTCTAAAAGCAAGTCATCAAATGATTAACGTGATTGGATGAATTTACTCTCGTAAGGCATCAAGGATCAACCAATCCGGCATTTTACCTCAGATATTGAAAACTCTTATGAAGATTTGGAGATTTGGAAGGGGTGTGTAGGGGAAGGGGGATCTTTCACATTCCTGTCTTCTTGTAACAGCAGGAAAGAATAAAAGGAGCAAGTAAATCCAGGTCGAAGAGAGAGACAATGCAGATGTGAGAAGGGGAAATAGAAGGAGCAGTGGTAGGAATTTACATTATGTAAATGGTATACACACAGAAAGCTGTGTAGAACACGTCAGACACATGTTTGGGAGGAGAAGGCATTTGGAGATGGGTGCTGGATGGGGGACACAATGGGAGAATGAGAAGCCAGTACATCAACAGGAGACCGTGGCTCAACCAGCTTCAGAGGTGGTGAAGGGTTTGGATGGGGGGGAAGGGTGTCCAGAGGGTTAGACAACATGCAAGAGTAAAGCTTAAGTGCAACCACTAAGAGACATGAGAGTTTGTACCTTTTAAACTAATGAAAAAAGAAAAGAGGCATTCTTGGGTTTCTGTGAAAAGGACTGGAAAATGCCTTTAAACAGGCCTACCTTTGAGAGCGTAATTTTTTCTTCTTAATATCAGCTAGGCAGGGTGTGATTATTACGGAGATCTGTGAATCTGGCTGATTATTCTGACGGTAACATCTGTCAACATGCAGACAGGTCAAGTTAGAGTTAAATGTTGTTCTGCAACAGCATCACCCCCTGCCAACTTCCTGAACCTGTGGATTTTCAACACAAGAAGAAAAAAACCTGCGAAAGTGTTGCTGCTTGTGATCTTTCTACAGTGTCTTAGGAAACTCATTGGCGTATCCCAATACACACATGCTGGTCTCCGTTGTCACTATAAAGAATTCTATCTTTCCTTCTCTTTCTCATACACACATACGATGTTGTGTAGTTAGTCAGGATTGAAAGGTACCTTTTCCTTCCATTTCTGGCAGGCTTCAGAGATCCATCATCGAAGAAATTAACGGGGCCGGTCCAATTTCCGGTCTCGTCCCCTTTGACTCGGCTAAACTGTTGTGCACTAGTAAAGAAATCAGTCAGTTTATTTGGTATTTATTTAGTCCTTGTTCTGTGCACACACATACATACACACACCACCATGTCCTTGTGTCCACCCATCAATCTTCAAAACTGCACATTCGCATTGCTAGTTATGCACAACTCAAGAAAACATCACACCACACAAGGTATAAAAACATTTGTTTTTGCTGATGAAATTACAATTTCATTGTCTAATTTATGCTCTGCTAGGCTGTTTGCATAAATCTGTAAAACATTTTTACTGCTGAATTTTGGCCCTCAAGAGTTTTAGACTCTGATGTGCTAAAATCTATGTAATTTAAAGTGGGAAACAAATGTCAATAGTAAAAGTCATTTTGTAGCTGAAGGACTAATGCCAACAGATTTATTTAGTCTTCTGTGTCCAACTTAGACATCTTTTATTGCTCATTTCTTCTGAACAATATGTGAAGAGTTTATTGATTCTTCCTGATTTTTTTCCCCGTCAAATTCATATTCCATCTATTCAAACATGATGAGGTGTGAAACCTTTAACATATGACTGACAGTTATGCAAGTAATCATATGAGTCATTTCTGTGAGTGCTCTGTGGGCGTTGAGCTAATTTCAGCGGGGGAGAGTGAACCCTAAGAGCCTCTCTGGATGCATTATGTGAGTAAGTATTTATCACAGGGGACTTGTGTCAATGCCATTTTGAAAGTACTTTTCGCCTTTCTGAGTGCCTCTCCAGCATCCCTGTCCTACTCTGCAAGTGGTGACAGAAGAACACACTGAAAATATAGGGGTTTTGGCTCGAAATGGGACAAAAGCTAATCAAGCAGAACAATTAAGGCACCAAAAAGCCGCCTACTGAAAGCAGATCACATAAACCTCCTAGTGTTGTGTTAAAACTAATGCCTGCAGGAACATTTGGATAGTATGAGTGGCATGATACCAAGTACTTTAGTTAACCAGACTGAATGCTATCTACACCCTTTATATAAGCTGCTTAAAAAAGTTAAAAATAATCCACTGGACTTTTTTTTTCCAAGTCTGAAGACATTTCACTTCCCATCCAGGAAGCTTTCTCAATTTAAAATGTCTGGAGTAGCGTTTGAGTTCCAGGCTTATAAAGTGGCACTATAAAACATGCAAATTGAACTGAAAAAAACAGATCCACCCCTTAATTGGGGAGCCATTGTGTTTGATTGTTGGCCTGCAATACCCGATACTGGCCCATGCCTCTGGGGAGATGTTAGGGTCATTGTTGGCCTGGCTGAGCAAGTGAGATATTTTGATCCCTGCATGGCGACTACAACTATATAACTATATAACTGCATAGTAGGTTTTTTAAAGGCTGGAACCTGAAACCACCCCTTCTAAGCCATAACACTGCTTTTTTTTATGCCACTCTATAGGCCTGGAACTGAAACGCTACTCCAGACATTTTGAACTGAGAAGGCTTTCTGGATGGGAAGCAAAACATCCTCAAACTTGAAAAAAAAATGCAGTGTTTTTTTTTTTTTTTTTTACTTTTTCAACTTTGTCAGAATGACTATGACCTGGGTAACTGAGAATCTTTATCAGCAACATAATGATATACTCAGTTCAGATATCAACCAAAGTATTAGCAAACAAACAAGCAAGATGTGCTCTGCATCCACACACTCCACCCTCAGAGTCAGCAGTCCAGTAGAATAGGAATCTCTTGGATTTTTAACCTGCTTGATTTAGATTTTGACTGCCATTAAATGCATGTGCAGTGACCTTTATAAGAATCCTAACCAAAGAACTTAGGATAACTCTACTGCTATGCAGTCTTTACAGATGTCAATAAGAAATAGAAAACACAACAATCCATTTGGATCCATGCATCATTTGTTTATCTAATGTTGCTGCAACTGAATGAGTATCAAGAAAAGGAGTTAAGGTAGAAATTTGGGCCACACCATGACAGATCCGACTTACACAATGCATAAAGAAAGATTGAGACTCTGATAGATCTAAACAATCATTTATCAGTTGGATTATTCAGTTTTCCACTTCTAAAGAAAAAAGGGCAATATTCATAGATCCTGAACCAGATAGCTTCTTAATATTAAGATAGAGAATTAATCATTTATGGTCCTTTGATTGTGGATTTGAATGTCTCTTTTCCCAGGTGGACCGATTGTGCAAAGACATCTTGTTTTTTTTTTTCAAAACAAGCTATCTGTGCAGACATTTGAATTAATTGTAGATGGTCTCTAATTATTAAAATTAGCTCAAATATAAACATACAGCCTTACTGATATTTGCTAAATGTAATCACAGAGCTGCATCTTAATCAAATGCTTTCTGAAAACATAATACATTTCTAAGGAAATTTCTCCCAGTTCTTTAATCACTTTTCTTGAACAGTTAATTAAAGCTGTTTATTCTACATCCGGAAACCAAGACACCCTTCTCCAAAATACAGATTTTGTAGGTAGCCATCTAAATAATTCAAATATGTTGGTAAAATGTTTAGTCAAGACACAAAAACTGAGCTACAATATTGTACTGTGAGTTCATATAGCTGTCATCAGAACTCCTACATTAGACAAAGAAGATAAAAACATGAAAAGAATTTAGTAGCTCCAAATGCTTCAATGTTTACCTTAAATCAACAGATAAAATGGGGATATAATTGGGTGCTCTAAGGAATGGCCCTGAAATCAAACCATTTAAGTTTATGTACTGTGAAAGGTTTATGAAAGGTGGTTTGGTGCCAGAACAGCAGCTTATAAAAATTAGCTGTACTATTTTTATATTCAGACACAATTCTGCCAGAGCTTTGTCAATAGCTCCAGAAAGTATGTAGTTTCTCTGAAACTTCCAAAGGTTTTTTTTTTTTTTTAAACATGTGTTATAAACATATATTGAGCTGTTGTACAAATGTTTGATTCAGAGTTGATTAAAAACAATACATTTTAGATTTTCCACTTAATTCGTATATATTATTTCTTGGCTATTCTGGATATATTATTATACTATCTACCCTGAAAGTATCCAGTTTGAAAAAATAAACTGTAAATTGAATGATTGCTGAGAGAATAAATTCCTATATTAGATCACCTTTAGGATCAATTACATCTTCTCACACCCACTACACTTTGAAAGGTTACAAACCAGCCTCTTCCAAACCTCCAGCATTTGCTCTAACCCCCCTGACAGAATATTTTTAGATGTCACCAGTGTCTCTCTTCACCAAAGTATGTCACTCAGAGACATCATCAGCTACCTCCAGCTCTGTCTTTTTCACAGTCCATTATTCCTCATAGCCTGATGTCAAGGATTACAGATTAATAACACATCTGAAATACATAGAAGGCACCTTAATGTTTTCTGTGCTGCATGCATACATGCCCAGTTTGCAGGACTCTTTGACATTATTAGCAGGCTTGGCTTTGAGAGAAGAGGAAACTGGGTGTGGTCAGACACGTGGAGGACCTCTTTACTATTAATGCATATGGAAGGCTTTGTTTAAATTACAGCTTCTCTTTTTTCTTCCTCACTCTGCACACACATGCAAACACACGCATCTCATCACACCTTTTGCAGTCTCTCCCCCACCGTCTCCCCACTTGTGCAGACAAAAATGAGGCAAAATGGCGGCCGCTGAGCCCACTGGTGTCTGTTGTGCAGCTTGTTCCCGCCTCTCTCCCATAGAGGCTTGGTGAAAAAGCAGTGCGTAAAGTTGATGCGAGCATTGAATCTGAATTCATGGATCTCTTTAGGTGGCGGTCAGGATGCATGAATCCAAACTGAGTTTATTAGAGGGGGGCCAGCAGGGTGACAGGGGATGGGGGGTAGTGGGAAAACTGGTCCTGCTGCACATATATGCTTGCTTTGAAGGAAGCATGTATGTGCTTTCTCTGTAAAAAAAAAATGTATTTGAGGTGAGGGGTCCTTTTCCTGGAGTGTGAATGGGCGTTCCTTGTGAGATATCTCATATGGCAGAGATATAACATCCCAGCATCTGCTTGTTTCACACTGATTCATTAAAAATTTTTTAAATCTCCTGAAAGTTGAGGAAAGATGGCTCATTGAATGGGTTTAAAAAGGGGACGTGGAAGAGGGCTCAGCACATATCTTGCAGAGCTGCTACAGAGTTGGCTCTGCAGTGGCTGTGTGGACCAATAAGAAATACACATCATCGTTTACGTGCTGCTAATCTGCAGTCATGGTAGTAGCTCATTTGCACTGTGAGAATCAGATGCCTCTGTAAGATGTAGGCTATGACCAGTCAAGAAGGCTGAAACAGAAAAACAAAGGCTTTTGGGGGGGAAACATCACCATATACAGCTGGACTGCTGTGTATGGTATGAATTATGATGCTTAATATTTAGAAAATATCAAAAAAATAAATTCTATGCTGCCAGGGAAAAAAAAAAAAGATGGATGGTTAGTTGCTATTGTTCTTTTAGGTCATTTAATGATCGTTTATGCCTGTTTCCTAAAACGTAGCTCAGTTAAAAACACTCGCATCAATAATGAGTAATTGTAAATGTTATCATGCATGATTTATCCACACTAAACTATTCATTAGTAGGAAAATTACTACATGCTTTTTAGGTTTTTTTTATTTTTTTTATTTTTTTTTTTGTATCAATCACAAAACTAATTTGCTCTGAAAGGGAAAAAAGTAAACACTTACCTCTTGATGTAATTTTTGCCATAAAGAATTTGCTGCAAAAGCGTGACGAGTCCAAATGCGCAAATAAATATGAAACACAGGGACCTACTGCCGAGAATATCTTTGCCCGACGAAGGGTCGGAGTATGCCATCCTTCGGCGCAGCATCCAGAGCTGATGGTGACACCCGGAGAGGTGTCTCTCTGCGCTGCATTCAGAACAGGAACAGGTGCCTCATCATCACCGAGCTGAGCTGAGCTGGACATCCATCGCCCGCCACCTCTCTAGGCTGTTTCTCCGCTCTCCAACCGGAGCGTCATTGTTGATGACTGAAAAAGCATCTCAATTTATCACAAGATCTGATGGTTTCTGCAGCGGGTGGTTCTGCGTCCAAAACCAAAATATATGGTCTTTGTCGTCCCGAGTGGTATGCAAAAAAAAAAGAAGAAAAAAAAAGACAAAAACAAATCAGGAATTGAGGTTTACTCCTTCTGATGGGTAGCTATTTATATTGCTGATATAACAGCGATAGGATAAGACATCTCCCGTTATGTCTAATGTCAAATATGTGCAAGTAGACGTGACTGCAATAAAAAAAGGATGATGCGCCTTTCTCAGTGAGGCTGACGGGGGCGCGCCGCGCGCCCCTCACGTGCTTCTTACTCAGCCAAAGCCCAAGTTCATGGACCGTTTTCCAAGGATGCACCAATGCACTCTCAACATCTCATACCAAAAAGGTCTCCTGAAGCCCCTATGCAGAGGTTGCGCCTAAACATTGTAATGCAGACGTTCTTTGCAGACAGAGTTTAATTACACCGTAGAAGAGCGCCAGGGCTGAATACAAACAGAGGCGTATAAAGAAAATGATTATAAATGTTTACATGGATGTACTTTTTTCTTTATTAGTATTCAATGGAAAGTGATCAGTGAGACCTATTTGTATTTCATCATGCATTAATTTTATATGGGCAAGGGGATCGTGATATTTTACTTGGGGGGGGGCAAAAGTGGATAGGCACCAGAACCTCAGGGTTGTCAGGATTTGTTAGTGGATAGCTGACCCAAAGCAGAGGCAGGAAGGCAGAGGTGAATTTCAAGTTGATTTAATAATGAATAAAAAAAAAAAAAAAAACTAAAAACAGAGGCAGGTTATCTAAAAATCCAAGATGAATACCAAAGTCCAAATAAACAGGGAAACCAGGAGTCCAAAGTCTAAAGATTAAAAAAAATATGAAAACACAAGTCTAAACGTACCAAAAAAAAAACAAAAATAACATGGAGACATCAGGGGAATCAAAATCACAAGGAGGGAGGCTCAGAGAGACGAGTAGGAGGTAGTATGACAGAGTTAGACGAGGACCCAGCAAAGAAGAACTGAACAGCAAGAGTATTTATAGGAGACAGAAACAAAGAGAGGACTAATGAGCAAACTGGGAGCAGGTGTGCACAGAGCAAGAGAGGGAAAGAGCTAGGAAAAAAAAGGAGAACATAAGAGGGCAGCAGAGGGCAACAAATGAAAAACCTGGAAGACTGGAAATAACTAGAAAACACAAAGAAATAATAATTAAACCACTAGGACTATAAAACATGGAGAAAAGTAAAACTAAACACTCAAAAGAAAACATAACAGAACCAAGACTGACATAGTTACTGAGAAAAAACCAAACAACACAATAAACTAAGAATTAAAGCACAAAAAAATAAGAAACAAGGAGAAAAGCAAAACTGGATACTCAAAAGAAAAACATCAAAGAAAACAGAAACCTAACAAGGGTCAATCTACACTGTTCCAACAGAAACATGCACAACGTCCATATTCATAAATAAAGACAAACTATAGTTTCCAACAACCTTTGCTAACAAATAGACGCATATATTTAAACATCCGTCTAGATAAAAGGTGTATTGGATCAAATTATTTTAGGTTAACAGTTCTGGAGCGAACATCTTTTCCATCCACCTACTTTTATCTTTATCATTCTACAATAAATTTATATTTACAAGTACTAATATCTATATAAATTGATAATTTAATAGGTTTTTAAAAAACGTATTTACAGTATCTATGATTTCACTGAAGACTTTTAGATGACTTGCAGAGACACATAATTTTCTCTTTACGGCATATAACACAAAATCTAGTTCTGAAAGAGCATGAATTCTGTACAAATCAATTGTAATGTTGGTATATTGATGTACATAATTAACCACAGTGTTTTTGTTGTCAGGTAATTGTTAATATATATAAAATTAAAATGTTTTGAATATTATACTTGAGAGAAAAAATGGTAGGGGTGGCCACAGGGGTAGCCAATGATTGGCTAAGGGTGGCCATGGCCCCCCAATCGAGCGCCACCCATGGAGACAAAGCATTTATGAAACAGGGCTCCCTTCTACCATTGGCAACATGGCTCACTGCCCAGGGCGCAATATCAGAGGGTACAGTAAACAAATAATGTATTGTATTGGAAAAGTTAGCTAAGAAAAACATTTGTACGCTAATGCAGGCTAATGGAGGTTGTCTGATCTGAAACGGAAATTCTATGTTAAATAAATCTTTTTTTTTTTTACGTAGGCTTGTTAGACCAGAAATAATTAGATCTGAACATAGTTTAATTGAAAGACTGGAGATTCATATTCATTAAATTTTATACAAATTTTTAAATCACTATTATGTTTTCCGTACTCTTTGGGAATTGACCTTAATTGCATGAACAAAGAAAAAGTTGCCAAAGGCATGCACTTCGTAAAATTTAAATCTTAATAAGTCTTTTTTTCTTAAAACAAGTAGATTTTGTCTTGAATTGAGGAGGTAAGTTAGACACATTGTCAATGAAACAAGACAATTTATGTTTAAAATAAGAAAGACCAATTGCAGTCTCTTACTGTATTTCAAGTGCATATTTTCGTAGTAAAAATACTCATTCCATTGGCAGATCATCTTATTTACCTACTAAAATTGAGGGTAAATACACTTTATTTAAGAAGTTTTGTTTTTGCAGTGTGAAATGGTAGACACAATTTTTTCTGGAAGTATATCCAAGTTTTCTTTTGCAACTCATAACATCTTGTTATGCTAAATGATTTTAACTGGCAAGCAAAGATCAAAGAGAATTTCACCAGACCATACTGCTCTATACTGCTCACTCCTCCGGCATGTCAACCTGAATGCATATAATAGATAACTTAGATAACTTAATATTCTCTAAAATTATTACTATCCATCCATCCATCCATCCATCCATCCATCCATCCATCCATCCATCCATCCATCCATCCATCCATCCATCCATCCATCCATCCATCCATCCATCCAGATGGCATCAGATGCCGTAATCCTGAAGAACTGTCCTGTCAAGCTAGCTCTTATTTTTTCACTGTTCTTTGCTTACAGGTCAGGCAGAGGTGTTTAAGATGCTGTTGGCACCATGCTGAATCTTGTTGTAACCCATCTTGAGAGTGCAAATTATTTTGCCTGCCTTCTATTTATTGATTTTCCATCTACTTTAATTGTATTTAGCCACACATTTTATTGGAGAGATTAAACTGCTCCTACAGCATCATCTGGTTGAATAGGCTGGGTTGTGTCTTCTTTCACCATTATATGGTGAATGTCAGAGTCAACATGTAGGATGACATATTGCTACAATGCAGATGACTCTGTCATTTGTCTCTGCTGAGCAGGCATGATCAGGAGCATGGACCTGTAGCAAAATAATTTATGGACTGGCATAACTCTTCTTCCCTTTAAATTACTGTGACAAAAACTAAAGACATGTCATTTCATATTTGGAAAAATCCCACTGTCATCACTCCTGTTAGGATTTGGAATTAATTAGTGGAGCTGGTCAACAGTTACAGTTAGGCCTACCTTGGGACTTACATTGATGATAAGCTGACTTTTGAGTCTCAGTTTGAAGCTATATGTAAAAAGGGCCACCAGCCCATGTGTGTTTATAAGAAGCTTAGAAATTGTAATGTTGGCAGTACTTTCATGTGAATGTTTATTCTTGTTTTAATGAATCCACACCTTCCTTTTCTTTTGTTTGTTTGTACTGGTCTATCGTAAATGTGTATGTTAAAATTGCTGATATCAACCTGATTGACCTCACAGCTCTTTACCAGCTCAAAATTCAATGCAAAGCCTGTTCTGTCCAGGGGAATAAGAGCCAGTCCTTGACTTGTAAATTTCAGCTTCTTACATCAGGAAATAGGTACATCCTATCAAAATGCAAGACTAATACGCTGAAATATTAATTTATCCCTACTTTCATTGCTCTTTTAATGTTAACTGACATGATTTTTTTTATTATTATTTATATGTTAATCGACTTCAATCTATCTATCTATCTATCTATCTATCTATCTATCTATCTATCTATCTATCCATTTTAAAACGTCAAAAAATAAAGAAAAATCATGAAACAAGCAAATAAAATTTAGAATAAATTATTAAACTACTACCCACATATGAAATATAAATATTACAAATGGTGTAAAACATGCTGTGTTTTCATATGATGTCTTTAAGTTTTGAGGGGTAATTGTTTTGTTATGTTCTCAGTGCACCTATGTGAAACATACAAATCTAAAAAGTAACATTTAAATCTACAGAAAATGAAAAGCCGCACGTGGACATTTTGTCCTTGGTTATATTAAAGAATGTGCTGTGGGGTCCGTATAGCTGAAACCGCCATTAGTAGATGATTTTTTGTTTTTGTTTTGTTTTGTTTCCTATTCATAGACGTTTTAAAAGTAATCCTAGATCCTAGACGGACCCATTTCTCTGTTACACCGGACGTAGCACGGATGTAATTTTATGCTGTGCCCGTTCTTCTTCCGGTCTCTTTCCCCACTGCCACTTGGTGAAAATGGTAAGAAGCAATGTCGCTAAACAGAAATCTTTCAACATCTGCAATATCAGAAGGTTATTTGAGACCAACTGACAGTTTTCTGTTATCCTATAAGTAGTGGTATCGTTTATCTATAATATTTATAGGATGAATCTTTCTGGTGCTGAAATTTGTTTGTGTTTATTCGGCATCCTTGTAGCATTTTCCGCTAGCATTAGCGTCAAGCGCGGTAAACGGTATCAAAATAAGCTTACCGACACGGAAAACTCTACATGGACCCATTTTATCTAGTAGTGTTTTAGTAAAATACGTGTCCATTTAAATGTGCTAACGTAGCCCGAAAGGTTAGTGTTTTATTGAGGTGTTTTTCTTTCGGATGTAATTGTATTAAGGTTTCCTTAAACTGGAGCATTGATACCTACAGTCTAGTGATTAAACATTTAACATACATTTGAGACTACATTAAATCACTGGGTGAGATATGAGGTCTTGTCAATGATGTTTTCAAACAAATGTCTGAACATATGACTGGCTGTGATTCCTTTATATTTGCTGAGACAAGACATTTATAGATGTTTGCATGTCTCCTTAAGTTTTGATGCGTTTTCCTTTAATTGATGAATTTCTCCCTCGGCAGACCAAGGGAACATCTTCATTCGGTAAGCGCCGAAACAAGACGCACACTCTGTGCCGTCGCTGCGGGGCCAAGGCTTATCATCTGCAGAAGTCCGCATGTGGCAAGTGTGGCTACCCAGAGAAGCGCAAGAGAAAGTGTAAGTCCTAACATACAGTGCATGAGATTCAAATGCATATTATTTCTCATTTTTCTTTGGGGGAAAAAGCTAAATCAGCTTCTCTAGTGTTTAAGTTTTCATCTTGTAATTTTTTTCAATAATTTTTCTGTATGTGTACTTTATATCTTTCAGACAACTGGAGCGCAAAGGCTAAGAGGAGGAACACCACTGGAACAGGCCGTCTGAGGCACCTGAAGGTCGTCTACCGCAGATTCAGGTGGGAAGAGCTGCTGAGAAATAAATTTCGCTGTTAGAAATGTTTTTGTATCTTTGAAATTAGGGGTTAATTGGTCGATTTTTAAACATAACTTCTCATCTCTTTTGCCAAATATTTAGTTTCATCTGTCATTTTCACTCAGAGCCAGGTATATAAATTTGTATCATGCACAATAATTGATTCATAAATGAAAAGGTTAATGTTAGGCAAATCTTAACTCAAGATGTATTTAGTCTGTCACAGTTTAAGAGGAACTTTGTCAGATCCAAACTAAGGCTACGTTCACACTGCAGCCTGAAGTGACCCAATTCCGATTTTTTTGCCCATATGTGACCTGTCTCTGATCTTTTTATGACAGTCTGAACGACACAGATCGGATTTTTTCAAATGCGACCCAGGCCACTTGGATATGTGGTCCTGAATCCGATACGTATCTGATCTTTTCAAATGCGACCTGTGTCTGTACGGCCAGGTCGCATTCATCCGACCTACACGTCATTAATACTTGATAAATGTTACTAAACATTACTAATCTGCGTCCTACTAAGCGGAGGCGGGGAAAAACTAACAACAATTGCGGAAGATAACACAGAGAGCAGTCAATGGAGAGAAATAGCTCGATTCAGATCAAACTCGAAGGGTCTTACCGGAACCGGGTCTTTCTTTTTGATCTTCTTAAAAAGATTTCGTTCGTAATGTGCCTGCTCCTGTTGGAGAAGAACTTAAAGAACGCAATATACGCTGCGGTATTACGAGTCATGTTTACTTCCGCAAACACTGAGGACGCTTGCTACATGTGACGTCATCGCGTCCTCGAGTGCGCATGCGGGACACTTCGGTTGAACGCTTTCAGTTCACACAGTAGATCACATACAAGTCGCATATACTTGGAAGTGTGAACGGACACGCAAAAAAATCTGATTTCACAAAAAAATCGGAATTGAGCATTAAGGCCTGCAGTGTGAACGTAGCCTAAATGTTATGTTCTGCATGAATTGTCAACAAAATTCCTCCGGCTAACTTTTAATCCACTGAAATGTCAAGAGGTTGATGTTCACCTAAAGAGTTGGGGAATTTAATGTTAAAATGTTAAACCAGAATATTTGGGGATGAAACTGTTTATAACCATATGGTTAATGTCTTTAGTTTGGTGTTAGTGCAAACGTCATATGTACATGAATGTTTGTATAATGGTTGTAGTAAGGTGAATTAACTAAACAATTTATTTTTCTAAAACGGTGTAGAACTTTCTTAGTGTTAAGAAATGTCAGTAAACTAAACATCTGAGGAAGAAGTAATCACACAGATTGACCACGGGGAGAATTTATGGCTTTAATTATAAACAAAAATCGCAAGCCAAGATTCTTTCCACTTGATTGGAAGAGGAGAGTTAGTAGTTGTGCATTCCACATCCTAATGACTCCACATTGAAAACGACCACATAGTGTATTGAAGAGGGTGTGATGCTAAACATAACTAGTTGAAGAAATTTGCGGTATTGAAATGAGGAACAAGATAACTTTCTTACTGTTACCTGAAAGGTAAAATGGAGGATTTTCACAGATTTTTGAAAAGACTTGTCCTCTCCACTTTAACAAAAAGTGCACAAGCACAATCCTGTACCCACTACCAAGAGGGAACGCCTATTAAATGTGTGAGAGCATGAACAAGCCCATTTATCCTTGTGCTCACTGTTTCAAAGTGGCTGTTTGGATCACGCATACAAGCTTACTTTCCAAAGATTTTCAATTTTTCCACTATGTCAGACTCACAATCGGTTGGTGAAAATTCGGACGAGCACATAGGACAGCCTTACGCAAACACATCGCCAGAATGATAACAATAAGTAGGACCACTTATTTTGATGATCCAACTGGAAAAAACATTCTCCATTATACCTTTTAAGAACAGTAACATTTTTGCAAAGTGATGAGATCTCCATATGGAAATCATTTGTTCTGGTAGTTAGCTGTTGGCTGTTACATCATGTCAAGTTTTTTTTTTTTATTAAACTCTGAAATAAAACACTTCACTAAATATTCTGCTATTTGACCAATACGGTATGTTTCAAAGATGTGTCTTAAGGAACTGGTTGAAAACACTGTTTGTGTGGGCGTTGTTTTTTTTTTTTTTTTTTTCATGGATGTACTTTTTTCTTTATTGGTATTCAATGGAAAGTGATCAGTGAGACCTATTCGTATTTCATCATGCATTAGTTTTATATGGGCAAGGGGATCATGATATTTTACTTGGTGGACTTCTATCAGTCTAACCCAGCAAAATGGGTGTCCATCTTAGATGATCACTCTTTCTATTCTGTGCTGAAAAGAATGTAAAACTATCAGTCATACAAGCTATTTTGTTTTAAGAGAAGCCCCCTTTTTGTGTTTTGAGGAAATTGAATCTGGTATATTCTTTTAAAGCTGGAATCCTTGGCAGAAATAGCCAGCATTCCAGCTGTAAATCACCAACTTGGTCTGATGGGCTGAGCAGCATATACCCACTGGCTAAGCTAACGCTGGTTTGATGACTTAAGTTTTTCAGTAGATAAAAAAAACATTATACATGATTGCAAAAAAGCATGTGCCTGTGTCTGGAAGAAAAGTCACGTTGAATGCTTTAAACACTCTGTTTTTGTCTCATTAATTTTGCAGGAATGGTTTCCGGGAAGGTACCACCCCCAAACCCAGACGTGCTGCAGTGGCCGCTTCCAGCTCATCCTAAATGACACATTTTTGGTTAAATAAATGTGATTGTGAATTGGAGTTTTGTCGTTGTCCACTTAATTTTACTCTGACAGCCATGGGGTGGATTTGGTTTGTGCTCATTTCTGGGTGGCCGTATGGTTTCTAAGATTAACTAAGCCTTTTTGAAAAAGTGAAAAATTAGGTTGGATTAGTTTATTTCTTCACTAAATTGCTAGGATGTAAAAACACAAATTTTCTGTTTTTTTTTTTTTTTTTATGGAAAATTATGATTCTTTAAATCTTGGGGCATAATGATTAATTGTATGATAGCAAATATACTTAAGTATGTTTGATGTTTTTTGGGTAGAATATTTTAGTGGTGTAGTTGAATTGCTATATCAAACTGGAAGTTTAAACTTGATTACATCCTTTGAAAATTTTAAAATTAACATAAATGGCTGGTGGTCTGAGCCTTACCCTTGACAAAAACATTTGTTTTGACAAATGAGGCATCAGATCGGACTAAGGTGAAATTTCTTGAAATGTGAGCAGCCTTAACATGAAACAGGTTTTCATTATCAAATATAAACTCAAATATCCAACATTTAAAGTAATGTTACAGTCTGACTTTATTCTTAATGCACATGCTAAGATCCCCCAAATTAGTATTTTATCCTTACAAAGACGGCAATTTCATGAAATGTTTTTATGAATTGACTGCAAAGAAATTCTAGTTAACTTCATATTTTAAATGCATTTGCTTTCTCATATTTAATGCTAAACTGAATTTTTATCTGCTGTTTAGTATTACCCATTTTGGGTTCTGCAGATGTTAGTGACTTAATGTGTCAGAATAAAGTCCAGCCATTAGTGATCTGGACCGTTTCATGTGGCAGCTGGACACGCTTTATTTTGCATGAAACATTCAGCTAAGATGCTGCTTGTGGGAAGAACATGTATAAACATGCCCTGTTTATTCAAACAGTAGCCTGCCAGGGATTTCATTGAATTTGTGGCAGCAGCCAATGTTATCTGGGAAAGTACAGCTGGGAGATATATAATTTTTTGGTGTGGGGGCTATGAGACAAATATTTAGCAAAGCGGCAAACAATACTGAAAGTTCCCAGACGACTGTTTGCTTACCAGTCAAAATGCTGGATTTTATGAGCATATCAGGAAAGTACAGAAGAGTCACCAGTATGAGAAAAATAAAAACCTAAGGGGTGGAAATATTTAAGTCAAGATTTAAAAGAAATTTGTCAACGATGAACCTATTAAGTTACACATTTCTCTGGCCTGATGTCCACTGGAGATTGACACCACCCCAACACAGCCTTGTAAAGAATAAAGAGATGCCATATTAAGGAAAGTTTCATGCAGAGTTTGTCTCCACTTTGCACTCAGACATTTTAAATACATAAAACAATGAGATCTTTAAAATGTATTGGCTTTCATTGGTTTTACATAAAATGAATTAATGTAAATCAGACCTAAAGTTCTTTAGAGAGAAAAAAAAGAGCCTGGAAATAAAGTGCAACAGCTTGTTTCTGCAGACTGTTTTATAGTGCTTAGTTTGGACGTGTGGGGTCTGCTTTAGTGTCTCTGGAAATAATGAAACCAGAAGATTTCAAAGTGACCAAATGTTTAAAACAACCTGATGTTTCTTTAAGCATGTAAGCAGAAGATTAAACAAAAAGATGCTAATGGCTTTCCAACCATCTGTGTATCTTTTGGATGATCTGACAAGCTGACCTCTAACCCTATTAAAAGTCTGGATCCAGTCAAAGATAACGGCAGCGTATTTCAACATTTCTCCGGTACACACCCGTCACACTCCCCTTTCTCTGGCAAAGAGGTGCATTTGGCCAGCCTCCATTGTTACCATGCCTTTAGTATCTGTTTTACTGTCTTTATTGTTGATAGATTGCTGCAGTGATTGCGATTTCTACACTTTAAGGTTATCAGAGGTCACATCATTCCTGGTTAAGTTCACTCAAAGAAACCTGATTCTAAATCATAGTTTTGCATAAAACCTGGATGCTTACTTTATATGTTTTATTGATTGCCCAAGACTTTAAGGTTACAAAACATGCAGTAAATAACTGAAAAAATGTTTGCAGAGGTTTGATATGCAATAAGGAAATAACGCAGTAGTAATTAAGGCCCACCAGCAGAGGGTGATAAAGAGTTGTTGCCTGAGGCTGCAATCCACTTTCTCCCCCTTTCCTATTAGATGGGAAGTAGTGGAACAGCATTTCTCAGAAAGAATGAGGTAACCTGCAAGCTTTTCCTGTTGCTCAAATCTCCCTCTTTCATCCTCTGAGCTTCAGTCTGCTCCCATCTCCACTCCAGTCTGGATTGTTGCTCTTTCCCTAATATTGTAGAAGTTGGAATGACATGGTCTTGAACTGAGGCTGCTGTAATGAGAGGTAAGTGTATGCGCTCGCAGCCCCTGTTTGTGCCCCTCTTGTATCAGCATTGCACTAGGGGCTCAGACAGGGTTCACTTTAGATGTTATTAGTATTGCTGGAATGTGATGAGTTTTTAAACTGCTTTAAAGCACATTAAATTACCATTTTCCCCTCTCTAAGCTTGTGTTCTTGGATCAATTTGTGCTCTTCTCATGCTCCTGTGGGAGCCTGGATGCCAAGGGGATGAGGTTACAACCAGCACAGGTGAGTGAGAGGTTAGTCTCCATAGCTAGTCTCTGTAGAGCTTGGAACATGGCAGGAAACGCATGTGGAGTTTGAATCAGAGGAAATGGAAGCCTGTGTTTTTATTATCCCTCCTGGTTTCATCAGGACTTTCTCCAAACGTGATGGATTGGACTGAAGGGGTGTTCAGCATTCCTGTTGGCAAGAAAACAAATGCATTAAAGGTCCATGCAGGTCTTGACAGGATTCTCCCCCATTAAAACCTGCATGGACACTTTACACCGTTATCTTTTTGAGCTTTAAGTGGAACAATAAATCAAGCAAAAGTCCTGCTATAAATAAAACAAACTGAAAAGGCAATAAAAGAACACCTGAAAAATAAAAAAAGGTCCTTCTGATACTAATTCCTTTCAAAGTAATTTTTCACATGAAAAATTCTCTCAGGACGTTTTTTTAAAACTTTAAGGACAAAAAGCATTAAAGCCAGTGGTAGAATAAGTTTTTCTTTTTAACTTTAAAACAAAAGCTTGTATGTGGGAAAAGGACTCTCTTAAGCAGAATCTTTGTTTTTTTTTCCTGCCTTGTACAAACAACCATTTTCACGCCTCTATGCAGACAAGATAGCATCTTGCCCTCAGGTGAAGCTATCAACATTCAGCCATTCCTCAAGTTTTTTTTTTTTTTTTAAAGTCGATTTCATTACCTGTCAAGTCTTACCTGATGTCTCATTTTACCAAATGAAGTTTGGTAAAAAAAAAAAAAAAAAGTTTGAAAAACTCCACAGAGTTTTTCTCTTCCTAAATTCCTGCCTCACTCATTTAATTTCAAGTAAAAGCTTTAAAAGCCTGTTACCGGTAGTTGTTTATTGCAGCAGAATTTCAATGAGATTAAACCCTTTTTTGGAACTTGAGAAATCAGTCTTTGTGTAAGTTTATATAGCTGCCAGGTGAAGTTTCTGATCTGATAAGTGTCCTCCAAACAAAGAGGAAAACAAAACTGAAGATTTCCTTGCATGAGCAGTGAACAATAATCCATTTAAAGAAGAGATTTTCATTTGAAATGTTAAGATGTGTTATAGGTCATTAGCACACAACTAAACCCTGTGCGCATACTTGCACCACTGGGCAATAATTTATGAGGGTTTCTGTCAGGAGCGTGTGTGGACTTGCCAAAAAACCCTCCCCTCCCCCAACCTCTTTTTTTCCCCCTCTGGTTTAAATTGCCCTATAAACTAACATTGCTTTTTCATGTAACTTTTATCCCAAATGCTGTTTCACTTGACTTGTAAAAAAGAACAAGTTGGATTGAATCCTCAGTGAATGTTATCTTGATGCATTTCATCCACGTTAAACCTGCCAATGGTCTGCAGCTTTTCTAAATACACTGACTGGAAACTGTTGGAAGCTTTTAGAAAACTCAGTCTGGGTGCCAGCGTCACCACAGGTTAGTGATCAACTCATTATGTTCATTTGTTGGATTCGTGAATAAAAAAAATAGTGGGGAAAAAAACAATTCCTGTTTCCTGTGTGGGCATGCTATATCCCAGCTTGGTAGGTAGGCATTACCTTCAGAGTTAATGGCCAAAGATGTGTTTGCATTTTACAAGCCAAGACACCAAAACTGAAAAAAAAAAAGATTAGTGATGGTGAATTAGTCAGTAGTTATGGTGGGGAAACTTTTGTTATTACAACAACCTGGAAATTTTCTCTTAGATAATTAATACTTTAGTAAATGGAAAATACGGGTATTTCTAACAAGTACAAATTTGACAAGCACATCAATTCAATGCAGTTTAATTTCACTTCTGGAAAAATCACAAGTTAGAACATCCCCTCTGTGAAACTCAATGAAAGATGATGTCTGCAGAATACATTCATCCAGTCGACTGCTTGAACATTTTGTGAAAAAAAAAAATCTGGAAAATTCAATTTCTAGGAAAAGCTACCAAAGGATTTCAGCTTTAATTTTAGTGAAAAGAGCTTATACAAAATATTGACGAAGTAGTCAGTGAAATACACTTTTATTTGATAAAAAAGATCCAAGTTACTTTTTTTTTTAAGCCGATTTCATTTCCTGTCAAGTCTTACCTGATGTCTCATTTTACCAAATGAAGTTTGGTAAAAAAAAAAAAAAAAGTTGGAAAAAAATTAACTCCACAGAGTTTTTCTCTTCCTAAATTTCTGCCTCACTCATTTAATTTCAAGTAAAAGCTTTAAAAGCCTGTTACCGGTAGTTGTTTATTGCAGCAGAAATTCAATTAGATTAAACCCTTTTTTGGAACGACAAACAAGTTTTTCACACGTTTGTCGTGGTAGTGTTAAAAAAATGTCTGCAAGATTCAGCAGAGGGAATATTTCCCTCGAAACTCAGCCTAAAACAATGCACATTTTGCACAGTAAAAGCTTTTGCTCACTCTTAAACTAAGTGGGAGTCCTTTGATTTACAGATAAAAAAAAATCTGTTTTACCCTTTTCCCCCCCTAAAAACTCTTAATGTAACATCAAACCCAGTATGATTAATTTAGAAAGTTTACTGTCTTACATAAATAAATAATTCCAAGCTTAAGTTTTATTACATGTTTTAAAGACACACTGCAGTTAGTCATAGTTTATCTTTTACGTCTTTGCGGTTGTTTGTTTCTTCTGCATGTGTAAGGACTGAGTCAGTAGGAAGCAGTTAAACCAAAGAAATTTGACGTTTAGATCAAACTAACGTCTGAATTCTATATGGTTTCTATTTCCTTTCAAGGTCATGATTTTACTTATCTGCTTTTTGCATTGTCAAAATTCAAATGAATTGCCTTATTCAAACTGCCATGTCCCAAGTTTTACATTGAAGTGTTCCTGGTTTCAAAGGCTTTAATAGAAAGATCTGTTTTTTTCAAAGAAAGAATCTGTTGGGTACCTCTAAACTTAATTATTGCTGATTAAGAGCTTCCCTGCACATGCATGCTTCAAGACATTCCCTGTATTTTCCTAGAAAGTGATCCTGAAAAGGCCTCAGGCTTTTTAAAAATAAAAATGAAATTGCACCTTAGCAGCAAATGAGATTTTGCTGTCTATACACAGATTCAGCTCAGATTCTACAACCCTGTCCAATGTTTTAAAACAAATACACTAAATATAATTACAAAAAAAAAGTTTGAATGAGATCATTCCCTTGTGGGAAGATAAAAGACAAATATTTAGACCTCACATCTGTCTAAGAGACATATTTCTACAGTACTGTAATTCTTACGTGTCACTTAAACTTTAACAATTCTTCTGTGGTAAGGTTATCTTGATATATATATATATATATATATATATATATATATATATATATATATATATATATATATATATATATATATATATATATACGAAAAATAGGGAGTAGAGCTGTTACCACAATGATGAAAATTATGGCTTCACCTAATGCAACAAAAAAAAAAAATTACTGGAAAAATCCTACAAGGACAGCTGGACCTTATTTCCTGAGAATTTGATTCTCTAAAGTTGATGGTATTCATGTAAACAAGAGGACTAAATGTTGGATTGGATTCAAAGGGTGGTTCAGTAAAGTATCAACCACTTATTCGACCCGTTTGCACTTGATTTTTCATACATCTTTTCCTTGAACAGATTTATTTTTTTGTTAAAGCTAAATATTTCTAACAGCACATGATGGTGGTGTGATGTGATGAGAGTGTGTAGAAAATCTGTTTATAATCTTGGTTTGATCCACTTTCACTATTCGACCAGAGGTTGTTTTTTTAGACGTTTTCCTTCCGTTTCCACAGTGAACCCATGCTGTTATCTGCCTTGTCAACACTGGAGTGTTTGTGTGCGCCACGGCCAGGACAAGTACGAATGTGACTGCACTCACACTGGCTACTACGGACAAAACTGCACAATCCGTGAGTCCCCTCATCCTTAAAGACATCCTAACTCTCTCATTTCCTCTTGTATTATTACACTTCTCAGGAATTTGAAGCCTTCCTTTCTCAAAAGGACCCTTAAAAAAATAACAATGGATTCTTGTAATATTATGACAAAGCTTTTGGCTTACAGAGTTATGGTTCCTTGTCTAGACCAAATATTTTGAAAAACTTTTGGAACACCCAGCAGAAGAGCAGCTGGATCATAGGTTTGTCTGTTGATTTCTTCTCCAGAGGTTTCTACTCAGCTGCTTTGAACTGGTCTGCTTCTCATTACTGCAAAACACCCATCCGCTGTGGTCTCCAATCAAACCTGATGTATATACCATGTGTAAAAATTACCTTTAACTTTGCATGGTAAAAAGAAATGAGGACAAACCAGCAAAGAGTGACTGAACAGGAGGTGAATATATGAGAGAGAGAAACAAAGACCAGGATAATTAGTAGATTGGGAGTAGGTATGAATAGAGGCCAGAAGGGAGCTAGGGAAAGAGACTGACACAAACAAGAAATATCTAAGAACTCAATTTGATAAAATTTGAACAGAACCAAAACCATGACAATAAGGAATAAAAGATTAAAGAAGTTCTACATGAGAGGGGTGGTGCTAAATGTGTGGATATGGATATCTTTTGACAAGTTTGACAAAAATTTCAGCTCAGTTCTTCTTCTTCAAAAAAAAGAAAAGAAAAAACAGTTAAAATTGAAATAAGTTTGTAGGAGACCTTGGTCTCCAACACTGGTTTCTAGCTGTGCCCACAAATATTCTGTGAGGTTGAGATTAGAGCAGTGAGGGTCATTTACTTACATTGACTTTGCCACTAACTTGGAGGTTTGCTTTTGGCTGCCCTCTTGTTGGAAGAGTGATTTTCGGCAAAGCTTTACCATCCTGGCTGATGTGTTGAGATTTCTCATTATTATTTCCACATGTTTTTTCATGACAGCTTTTCTTTTCTGAAGTGCACCAGACCCCATACTTTGGGGATCCCCCTTTAGCTTTAAATCTAATGATGGTCATTATGGCAGAGCTCACAATTATAGCTGATATAAGTAAGGGGAAAAAAACAGTCTGAGCAAACGCTAACAATCAAAAAAAATTATGTTATTTCTTTAAACAGCACGTAAATATTGAGGCTCAACTATCTTAAGCTCCTAATCTTTTGACCAATGGCTAGTCCTGATGCTATACCACCTTCCCACCTTACTACCTTTTTCATTTGGTAGTGGAGAACTTGACTAAGAAAGCTGCTATAATATCTCAAAAATACTGCACCAAATCATAATTTGTTTGTACTTTCCTTGACACATGCATTGCAGTGTTAAACCCATGTAATGCATTAATTAGGATTTTTTTTTTATCATTTTACTCATAAAACTATTTATTGCTGTTCAAATTAGTTGCAAACAAGTTTATGGATTATTTAGAATTCAATAACTATGGCCATGGTTTGTGTATCTCACCCTAACAAGACACTTATGCATTGCTCAGAAAAATACAGCAGGTCATTTGAAATAGACAGCATGACTGCACAGGATGAACAGCTTGAGAGGACTGAAATGATCCCTTATGAAATAAAAGGAATCAGTAGACACGCTCAAATAACGTTTTTCAGGTCGTGCTCACAATATTAAACTTTGTTTTTTAAAAGATGACGTGCAAAACCTGGCGATAGTATGACAATAACAGGAAGGGTTTGTGAGTTTAGTCAGGGACCACCTTTACTGATCCTGTAATAAAGCTGTGATACTTTAGTTCTTTTACACAAAAATGACACAAATGCACATCTATAATGTTAAGTGAAAGATATTATTTTTAACTAAAACTAAAATAAAGAAAATAGAGGTGGGTTTTTTAATTAGCCATGAAATGATCATCAGTCTCATAAATCATCAGTGTTTATACATTAGCTGTGATAGTTGAAGGCAGGTATTTCCTCTGTTTTGCACTTGTATTTAAAAAAAAAATGCTCTGCACCAGTGGTTGACTTCTGGACCCTAGAGTTCTTACTGGGGCATAATGGTGACACAGGTTAGATGAAAATATTTTCCCATAGCCTTAAATTCAAATCCTAACTTGGATTCTAAAAATGAACAGAAAGCGAGGGCAGACAGGCCAGCAGAAGTGTGATCTATCTGTACAAGTATCATCTGATATATAGATGATTTATCAAAACCAACAAATAGAGATGCGCTTGGATCCAGCCAAGATGTAATCAAAGCAGGGATTTGTTTTTCTAAAGTACATGGATGGAATGTGGTCCTTAGCAGCAAAAAGCTCTTTACTTCTGAGCAGATCTGCCTATCGAAGCTGAGTTTTGTAAATGGAAAAGTGCAAAATGAATCAGCTGCAGGTTAGGAGATATGATCATTCAGATATAATGATTTACGTTTTATTCTTGTTCATTTCAAAGAAAGCATATCTAAAGAAAACAGAATGGGGCCTTGAGGTACCCCACACATATTAGATTAAAAATAAGAATATTTATTAAAGCATATTTCTACTTATGCTTGAGTAAAATTCATCTTTAACTAATTAGATTTTTTAACAAGCTGCAGGAAAATAGCTATTCTCAGTAAGTGATGTTAGAGAAGCTTAAATTTCAAGTCTCCTGACATAGAGTTATGGTTTATAGATGATCACATCACTGCAGAAGGCATATGTCTGCGTTATCAGAAATGTTCTTTTCATAACAGAATTTCCACTCCTTAAAAAGGACATTAGGTTTATAAGTGTTATCTACCACAAGGTTTGGAAGATGTTTAGCTTGTCAGATTAAAAGCATTCTGCTTCTCTTCAGAACTCTTCCTTAGAGTATCGGGAAAGACCATAACATGCTTCTTCTTACATATCAGCTAGTTAGCTTGCACTTTGAAGTACCAGTTGTCACATTCAACCATGGTTCAGGTGTTGTTCTGGAATTTTTTTCCCTGGAACAATGGAGTTCAGTATACTAAGCACAGATACAGTTACACAAAAGTAGAGACTCTCCTGAAATTAAATTAGGGCTGAATAATTTTGCCAAAAATATGAAATGCAATTATTTTTAACCACTATTTTGGTTTTAATCTGATCTTCCTTTCCACTAACCACAAACATGCATATATTTCATTCGAGGGTTACAGTTTTCTCATGACCCTTAAAGCTTGCTTTGTCCATTGTTCAGGACTTTACTGTTACTGTTGGGTGAAAAATGCTTACCTGTACTTGCATGCATGGGTCAGCCTGCAGCTCTCTTATTCCTTATGTGAGGAAGCAAACCCCCTTTAAGTAATTCTCACCACCTAAAGACCTGGAGACATGTATTTACTGTCTTACACTTGTTAAAAGTAATGTGACCAAAACTGAAAGAAAAAAAAAAAGTGCCACTACAATTTGAAAATTGAATTTATTTAAACTGCGATTATTATGCTAATGCAATTAATTGCCCTTCCCTAATTAGATCAAAATCTAAAGAACTTAAACACGATGTTTGGGATTTTTACTGAGTTGGAAGTAAGTTGAAGCTCTTTTAGGCAGGGTTTAGGATTTGTGGTACAGAAATGACAATGAACTGCCATATTGTTTAACCGGTTCTTGAACTCAGTGAATAAAGAAATGTGGGTGGGCTCCGCCATTAAGGTTTTGTAAACGACCACAGTGGACTGTGTCATAATGACTAGGCCATGTGGAGTACATTTCCACCCTTCAGTCCCAATTGTTCTCAATTCCAGCCTAAAGTGTTTTTTCTCCCTTTCTACCTCCCCCCATTAAAGCGGAATTATGGACCCGGGTGCGTCAGTTCCTCAAGCCTAGTCCAGATGTAGTGCACTACATTCTCACCCACTTCCACTGGCTCTGGGACATTATCAACAACACTTTCTTACGGGACACCCTCATGCGTCTGATTCTAACAGGTCAGAAGCTAGTTGAAACAAATTCCTTCACAGTCATTTTTTTTTGTATTTTTCAACCAACCCTTTTCCTTCTATAAATAGTGAGGTCCAACTTGATTCCCAGTCCTCCCACTTTCAATTCAAAATATGGCTACCTCAGCTGGGAGTCCTACTACAACCTCAGCTACTACACCAGGATCCTGCCGCCTGTTCCTGAGGACTGCCCCACGCCTCTGGGCGTCAAAGGTAGACAATAAGGATTGTCAAAAATAGTCTTATTGGTATTCATACCTGTACTTTCCTAATCTGTTGATTTGTTTGGGAATGTAATTTCCTCCTCTGCCCACAATGATTTACCCAAATGCTGACTTGATTGAAATTTATATTTGTTGTAAAAAGTGTTGTGGAATCACCATATAGTGAGCCATCACAGTTTTTGTCTACTTTAAGTTTTTTTTTCCCCAAAATATATTTATTCAAATTTTAGCAATTTAAACAAACAGCTTGAACAATATACAGAATATAATCACAGCAATATTTACGTTACTGTTCAATTCAAAATAAAATGCAGGCAAAAAATTGCCTCACACAACATTTGTTCCAATGCGACTGATCCCATTTCATGCTTAGCCTCTTATACTGAAAATTAATTAAATTTTTGTAAATTTTTTTATTTTTATTTACGGCACTAGTGGCTTGTTTTTTTTCGACAGTAGGCTGACAGGAAAGGGGGTATGAGAAAGGGGGAGAGACATGCAGCAAAGGGCGACCCGGCCCTGGGTCATCCACTTCGAGGACTAAGGCCTCGGTACATGGGCCGAAGCATGCCCTTTGTAAAATCTTTTTACGGAAAAATTATATTTTGCATGCAGTGTTAATTTAAATGCACTTTATTAAAAGAACAACTAAAGTAAAATTAAATAAGGTCAAATAAAATATTTTTATGTACCTCAAATAAAGCAGATTTAATACATAAAAATCAAATACAAAAAAATGTAAGATTACCTTTTTATTATCTAAACTATATATTATAAGGGTTAAAGTGTATATTGAATCATAATATGTATTGCAGAACCTATATTAGTTTTCTTTTATAAGATACTAATATAAGGATGATAATAATGTCTTTTCTGCCCTTGCAGTTTTTTTGTAAAGATTTGCAAAAGCCAAGAAATAATGCATCTTTTACTATGTAGTATAAACTCAGACTGATATTCTGTGAAAAGACAGCTTTAATTTGAGCATATTTATTAAGAGGATAATAATTCCTTTCCCTGAAAGGTCCACAGTATTACTATCTTGTTAATAACAGAAGGATCAGTTATTGGTAACCCTTAAACTGTAAAATGAATGTAGCTGAGGCTTTTTTTTTTATTGCTACTGGTGGCATAATTCATTGTGGGGTAATGCATGTTTAGGCTGTGAGTAATGTGTTTTTTTTTTTCATTTTGCCAAGGCAGAAATGGGCTCCCTGACCCCGAGGTGTTGGTTGAGAGGCTGCTGAAAAGAAGGACATTCAGACCCGACCCTCAGGGCTCCAATCTTATGTTTGCTTTCTTCGCTCAGCACTTCACCCACCAGTTCTTCAAGACATACAATAGCATGGGTGTGGGCTTCACTAAGGCTTTATCGCATGGGGTTAGTCCAACAAAAAAATATAAAAATAAAACTTTGTAGAGAAGGCAAAAAAACAGAAAATATATAATTTCATTGGCATCAGATACGTTTTAGAGAGCCTTGTCAGGAGTAGCAAACACATTGGAAAGTTTAGTAACTTATAAAGTGAATCAGATAATGCCTGGCATTTGTTAAAATTGCTTCCATTTGGATTTTAATTTTGTTTTATTTTGTGTTCTGTGACTCGCGCAGGTTGACGCGGGGCACATTTATGGAGACAACTTGCGACGTCAGCACAAGCTCAGGCTTTTTAAAGATGGAAAAATGAAATATCAGGTGAAACCATCTTTGCTTTTACATATGAAACAGAACAAAATAGATTTCTTTTTTTTTAAATCTAGGGAATGGTGTTTTCCTATTATTTATCCTAATTTTTAGCAATATCATTTGAAATCAGCTGAACGGGCTTCTTTAAATGGATATACTGTCAGAAATAAGAGAGCATAGTTAATTAACCAAATATATCTTGTCTCACAATATGTTATTGTTTTCCACCAGATAATCAATGGAGAAATGTACCCCCCTACCATAGCTGATGCTCCTGTGAAGATGAGCTACCCTCCTGGGATCCCTTCAGAGAGACAGATGGCCATTGGTCAGGAGGTGTTCGGGCTGCTCCCTGGTTTGGGGTTGTATGCCACGCTGTGGCTTAGAGAGCATAACAGAGTCTGTGACGTCCTGAAAGCAGAGCACCCAACCTGGGATGACGAGCAGCTCTTCCAGACCACCCGCCTCATCATCATAGGTGAGCTTGACATTCTGTACTGATGTCTGGTCTTCAGTAAGCTCAACAGCTAAGCCCCCCCTTTACACTAGAATAGTATTTCACCCTAACATTGGAGAATATTCCAAAATGGGTATCACTTCAGCGCTGCCTGGAGAGGTCTTTAAATTGCAACTGGGAACGTCCTGGTGGTGACAAGTAGCGCATTTAGTCTTGAGAGATTTTGAAGTACGGCAGACCCCTAATGCCAATTTGACAACTTAATTATGTTAGCACTGGACTAGCAATTTTATCACTCTAAAATAGGGTTACCAGCTCGGGGGAAGGACAAACACCTCCAAATTGCCCCTACTGAACAAACTACTTGGAGAAAGAAGAACGTCGTTATAATGGCCACAGCTCTGATGCAAACAGCATCTATGTGTAGGAAATAGACTAAGCAGAAAGACCTAAAGATTTTGGTGTGATTTAATTAGAGTGACCAAAAAGAACCAGAATGCGGTTCACGGGGTTCCTGTGTGCAAGCAGAGTGGTGAACCAGTGTAATATATTACAGCATAAACATAGCATGCTAAAGGTCACTTCTGGGCTAGAAAGCATTTGTTTTCAGACTAGTTTTCAGGCATGATGAGCCCTTCAAACCAATATGAATAAATTGTATTAATTTAATATATATATAAATGGTTTGCTGGGAATAGATGAGTCTGCCTTTCTTCCACAGTCTTTATATGGACAAATTTGTGGTTGTAAGCAGCCCTCTGGGTTAATAGCTGATGTCTTGAAAGCTTTACTGCTCCTGGGTAAGATTCAAGCAGGCTTGTTTTTTAATTGGATCTACTTTGTTTGCAAATATAATTTTTTTAAGTTAATATACTAAATGTACGTATAGAACATAAGACTAATTATTCAGCTGATAAAGCCATGGCAGAAATGATCAAACCATCCTTGTCTTCTTTTTAATCGTTCACGTTTTGGTTAATTTTCGTACGTTTTTCTACTAGTAGCAAATTTTTGTCACGTTTGTATATTTAATGTTTATGTTCGTTCATTTGATGTTAACTCAGCATCCTGCTGCATGAGTTTACCCTCATGTTATCCCTGTTGTTGTTTTCTCTCCCTGTCTTCCAGGTGAGACCATACGAATCGTCATAGAGGATTACGTGCAGCACCTCAGCGGCTACCTACTGAAGCTCAAGTTTGATCCCTCCCTGCTGTTTCAGTCCCAGTTTCAGTACGGGAACCGGATCTCGCTGGAATTCAGCCAGCTCTATCACTGGCACCCCCTGATGCCTGACAGCTTCCACATTAACGGGGACGAGCTGTCGTACTCGCAGTTCCTCTTCAACACATCTGTCCTCACATACTATGGCGTGGAGAAGCTGGTGGATGCCTTCTCACGGCAACCTGCTGGCCAGGTATCAATCTACAACTAACATGCCGAAGCTCTGAGGGCCAATTATCTTGGTGATTTAGGCCTGTTATGGTTGTAACAAATGTCTAATCTTATAGTTTATCTCCAATTGTGGGAAGGTCACAAGCCAGTGATGTGTTGCATTTCCCTTTTTTGCTGCATTGTCCTTTAAAGATGATAAAAATTTTAACAAGTGAAGTAAAAGGAAAAAAATGGTTGAAAGATATTCTGGCGCTTAATGTAGGACAACGCCCTAAGTAAGCATCTGAGTACACAAGAGGAAGCCCAAGTACGTGCTTGTGGATTCTAGGAGGTTTTATTGCATAAGAAGAGCAAAGTTTTCGCAAATAATTTCTGATTGATCTTTTTTTAACTTTCACTGAACTCTTTACTAGGTACAGCAGCAGTATATTGCTAAGTGGTTTCTCTCCCTTTGACTCACAAATGAACTTAAGTGATATCCCATAGTTTCTAATATGACATTGGTCCTGCTTTTGCAGCTGTAACAGCTTGAAGTCTTCTGAAAAGGCTGTTCACAAGAGGAATTTTGGACCATTCTCCCAGGAGCACATTTGTGATGTCATAGACTGATTTCTGGTTAGAGGGCCTGGCTCTCAATTTCTGCTCTAGTTTATCCCAAAGTTTTTCTATGAGGTTGAGGTCAGATTTCTTTCTTATCCATGCCTCATGAATGTTTGCACAGCCATGAAGAAAGTGGAAAAGGCAATCTCTAAACTGTTTCCAGAAAGTGGGGAGCACTGAATTGTTCAAAACCTCTTGCTATGAGTTCTGCTCTAGAAACCCAGGGCAGCTTGCTTTTCACCACCTCACACAGTGCTATGTATTAAATTTGTTCATGTATGTTGTGGATACATCTGCTCCACCGTTGAAACTTCTTCTATGAGACTCTTTATGCTTTTCTCTTAGCTGGGAGCTTTAGAGGTCTGTAGAGATTGAAGTTGCAAAAAGTCCTTGATCTATATCAACCACAGCATCTGCTTGCCACGCTCAATCAGATTACGTTGCCCACTGATTTGTGGCTAAGTTGCTTCCATCTTCTTATAATACTGCAGATGATTAACGGTGGATATTGAGGACAGAGGAATTTTTACACAAGACCTGTTGCACGGGTTGCATCCTTACATCTCCTGTTGGAGTTCACTGGGCTCCTAAGAGGGATCAAGTGTCACTCAAATGTTAGTGGAAACTGTCTGCTTGCCTTGGTGCTTTACTTCATACACCGGTCTCCATGAAAGTGATCCAAAAGTTGGTTTTAATTATTTGGATCGGGGAGTGAATATTTTGGGCAAAAAAGATGCAAAAACCAATTTAGACCACCTTTTTTTTTTTATCAGAACTACCTTAATTATTTGCTCAATAAATGGTCTGATAAAATCTTCAGAGACTTATATATATTGACAGGACAGGATCATTCAGGAGCTCAGCATTAATCAGCTGCACATGCATCTCCCATTCTACCTTCAATTTAGATCTGCACTACAAAAACTTATCTAAAGTTAAGTGGAGATTTCTTAGAACAACTGCCCTTAATTTGAGCATGTAAATATAGGATAATTAGATATGCACTAGAAATAAGATAATGCAGTCCCTTTTTTTCCTCATTTAGAAATTAACTGTTTCTATAAAAGTAAATTATTTTGATGTAAATTTATAAAATAAATTTTGCTGCTAAATGTTTTCAATTTAGGTATTTTGAGTCCTTAAAGGAATAGTACACCCAAAACATGATTAGCCTTCATTTTCTACTCACCCCCATGCTGAACAACACTCTGGAGTACTTTTTTGATATCTCAAATGCATCTGGAGATCTGGGAGGCTTCTTGCTGACATTCAAATAATGGAGGTCTACGGTGCCCGAGACAGAAAGGTCCATAAAAGTCCACAAAAACGTGTCAATATTCCTCCATACTTCTCGTCCAATGTATTCCAAGTGTCCTGAGTGGGTAGCATCCAGAATTTACTCGAAACGAAGTCATTTAGAATGTTTTTAGAGCATAAACAGTAGTGTATAGTATTTCCTGAAAGCGCGCGCCAGCGCGTTCATGACGCTACGGAAGCCGGCAGACCAAACCAGATGAAAGTGCGCATTCAGCGTCTGCTCTTCCAATAATGCAAGCGTAGAAGAAGAAATGTGCTGTTTACCTGTGCAAAGAAAGAAACAACGAAAGAAAAATGTCTGAGGACTTCAGTGTTGAGGAAGAGCAGGAGTTCTTTGCCGAGCTGAATGCGCAGGTTTGGTCTGCCGGCTTCCGTAGCGTGTGAGCGCGCATGTGCGCGCTTTCAGGAAATCCTATACATTACTGTTTATGCTCTAAAAACATTCTAAATGACTTCGTTTCGAGTAAATTCTGGATGCTACCCACTCAGGACAATTGGAATACATTGGACGAGCAGTATGGAGGAATATTGAAACGTTTTTTGTGGACTTTTATGGACCTTTCTGTCTCGGGCGCTGGGCACCTCCATTATTTGAATGTCAGCAGACAGCAAGAAGCCTCCCAGATCTCCAGATGCATTTGAGATATCAAAAAAGTACTCCAGAGTGTTGTTCAGCATGGGGGTGAGTAGAAAATGAAGGCTAATCATGTTTTGGGTGTACTATTCCTTTAAGGTGAAAAACAAGCATATAGATGTAGCTACTGCAGATGTGGCATGAGTGACAAAAAATGCAAACAGAAACGGATTCTGTTAAATTAAATATACCATTTGTCTTAAACATTGCCTCATCATCTTTAAATGTTTTCCCTGCAGATCGGTGGAGGCTACAACATGAACTCTGTTGTCACCAATGTTGCCGTGCGAACAATAAAGGAGTCGCGCCAGCTTCGGGTCCAGCCTTTCAATGAGTACAGGAAGCGTTTTAACCTGGAGCCGTACACGTCGTTCAGAGACTTCACCGGTGAGAAAAACCACTGCTGTCACAGGTCTGACTCAGAACATCAAGAATGGAATTTCCAGCTTTCTGTGAGAATGTCTGGCTTATTTGTTGAGTCAAGGACTGCTTATTGCCCCCTGTAAACCTACATAACCCACCCTCTTGCACTCTTGCTAAGGTTGTGCTCAAACAAGTTTTCCTCCTGGGCATGATGAGTCTTCCTGAAGCAGAACCCCTGTGAAGCCTGTTTAAGCTGGTTTCGGGTGGGATTTGTCGAACCATTAACTACCTACATTCCAGCATCACGCCCTGTTTCAGCTGAAAGGCTAAGCAGCCCTAGAGCCAGCTAGATACCACAGTCACACCTGTTACCAGCAGCCCCAGACTCTAATGACAACTTTGATATTAGTATCAGGCAGAAACAGTTTTAGTGACAAAGACGTAAATACCAGGGATGCTGTTTTAATTCATTTGTTGTTGCCCAGTCTAAGGCAAAATGACAATGAATCTAAAATTGAATGCTCATAACTTCTAAATTCATCTTATTTAGGCTCTTTAATTGCAGAGGTTGGCTGAAACAGGAACAGTTTAATTCGGCACCAGAGAAATGGTTGGATTCATGTATTAATCTTTCTAACCCAATCTTCCTGACGCTGAGAGAGTTTTTGATGCAGGAGTTTAGATATTAAGGACAGGGAGAAAACACATCCCTTCAGTGGAGTTGCATTTGGCGGCTGAGCCTGAGGTGTTGAGGGAATCAACACTAGAGACCCACAGCTGGATAAAGCTCGTAGTTCACTGATCTTTTAGAAAACACTGGTTTAGGGGATAGATATATTCAGATAGTTTGTTTCAAGGGTAGTCAACCATGACTGGCTGACAGCTTCCATCTCCTTAATAAGATATGATTCAATATTTTCTAACAACTCTTGTACTTACACAATACCTACGTTTCCTCCTTAGAATAACGAGTTTAGCTCCACCAGAGGGTCTCCGACAGCTGTCAAAGAAACCTCTGCTTTTTTTCTCTATTTCAGCCTCATCACCATCTGACCTTCTGACTTTCTCTAATTAGATACACATAATCTAATCATTTAGGCATCTACTTTATGGCGAAAGCATAGATTTAACATCTTCCAATGAAACCATCTTAATGACTGTGTCAGTAATTCTAATGCTCCGATTATGTAAGTGAAATATGCACTTTTTATTGATGCTTTGGGATGTGATCTATGTCCAATAGTTCTGCAAACAGGAAAGACTTTTGGCCAAATAAACTGCAGCCACCACAGTAAGGGTCCAAAATATTTGAGAGTGTTTAAAACGTCATTGCTCACTTTACGAGGCCAGAAAGGGTTTGACCTAAACCAGCAATGCTCATCGGTTCATTTTTGAAAGATTCCTTGAAAGCTCAGAGGGCCAGTGACACTATATTCTCAGAGGAATAACATGTAAAATAAGGTAAATGACCTGTTGGTTAGTTAGGCCACACACAAAAAAACAAGATTTGAGCCTTTTTCTTATAGCAGTTTTAGGGGAAGATCAGAAAAGATTAGCTGTGTGGAGGATTTGACCAGTTTAAAAAACTATTTTCACTTTCACCCATCACAACCTTGCATTTAAGCTTATTTTAATGGAAATCTTAATCAATAAAATCTAATTTTATCTATACATGATATGGGAGGAAAATTCTGCTTTCTTTTTGATTATTTGCAAACAACATTTAGTCTGCAATCTATTTATGTATGTATGGTCTTTGCATATCTGTAGGATTAGATTTTCGCTAGTTCTTTGCATAATAGCTTAAGTTCACTCAAATTAAATAAGATTTATATTATTTGGATTTAGATAGAAACTTTGACAGAGCCGCTGAAACACAAATGGGCTTCATCTGAACAATTTAATTGTAGCTATGGTTGAACATTTAGGATCTTTTTCCTGTTAGAAGATGGGCTTCAAGTCTGGTCTGAAGTGTTTCACTGCTCCCCACAGATTCTCTTTATGAATGGCCCTCTTTTTAACTCCACCCATTACTTTAACTCAACTGATATGGGGCATCTCCACAGCAAAAAGCTGCCACAACAGTGTTACACAGTGTGTTCAGGGTAGGGATATCCCAATCGGACACTGATATCAGATGTCAGCCCGATGTTAGACAAAAAAACCAACAAGATTTTATCATCTAAAATCTCAGATATTTTAATGATGATAGAAACACTCTGCTTCTGTTAAAAGATTCTGTAACTCATGGGTTAATTTTACATGGGGCAGTTGTTTTCATACCTTTTGTTGTTGACTTTAGTTCCTTTTCTTTAGTTTTAGTAAAATTGATCGATCAAGCCTTTTCTAACATCCTACAGAATAAATTAAGTAATAACAGCTGATAGGATTCATGCTAATATCGGACAATTCTCAAAGCTGCAATATTGTTATAGCATATCCTAAATTAAAATGTTTTATCGGGCCAACCCTAATTAAGTGTGATGTGCAGTATGTCTTCTCCAAGACAAAAGCTTTTGCATGTAGAAACGAAGGTTACATGCTGCTTTTATCTAGACAGTACGCTTTCTTCCACATGTTCTCAGTGAGCTTTAAATGCCAGATGGGCTTTCCTATGACTAGATATTTTCCTGGGTGATGAAACACTTCATTTCCTTCCTTCAGTTCATCATTATGACCCTTTTTTGGCTCTGCCAACACATGGAATCCCCATATACTCTAAAGTATCTGGTTCTGTCCTGAAAAAAAGTGTGAAAAAGTTCAAGACTTATGAATGCATTTCCAGTAATGTCTATGATACAGCTGGTGAAATAAGTATTGAACACGTCACCATTTTTTCAGTTATTATATTTCTACAGGTGCTACCGAAGGAGTTTTGAACACACGTACTGAAATTATTTTATACTTTGTACAAAATGCTTTGTTGACAATGACAGCTCCAAGATTTCTGCTGTATAGATAAATTAGTTGCATGCATTGCTCAGGTGGGAACAAACTTCAAATCTTGAAGGTTTCTTGGGCCTCTTCTATGAACTCTGATCTTTAGTTCTTTCCATAGAATTTCAGGTCAGGTGATTGGCTGAGCCAGTCTAACAGCTTTATTTTATTTCTTTGAAACTATTTGAGTTTCCTTGGCTGAGTATTTTGGATCACTGTCTTACTGAAATGTCCACCCATGTTTCATCTTCATCATCCTGGTAGATGGCAGCAGATTTTTATCAAGAATGTCTCTACATTTTTCCTTTCATCCGTCTTTTAATTATTTGAAGTTTGCAGTACCATAAGCTGAAAACAGTCCCACACTATGATGTTCCCACCTCCAAACATCCAAAGGTCTGACCAGACTATACTCTCCCAGTATTTCACAGGCTTGTCTGTAAAATACTGGGAGACTGTGCAAAATGCTGAGCAGGAACATTTAAACAAGCTTCAACATGCTTTTTTTTCAGTAACGGACTCTTGCATGGCGATTGTGCATGCTGTATACAGGCCATGTTTGAAAGCACTACTTATTGTTTTCTTTGAAACAATTGTACCTGCTAATTCTAGGTCTTTCTAAAACTCTCCACAAGTGGTCTTTGGCTCTTTGACAACTGTTCTGATAATTATATTAAATCCTGGTCAGACCTGGTCATTGTCGGTTTATGGTGAAATAATATTCTTTCAACTTCCGGACTATGGCCCTGACAGTGCTCACTGTAGTATTCAGAAGTTTAGAAATCTCAAGCAGTCTACGATCCACCTTATAGTATTGCTACTCGCATGTTTATTTTCAGAGATGGGAAGTAACGAAGTACAAATACTTCGTTACTGTACTCAAGTAGATTTTTCTGATATTTTTACTTTACTTTACTACTTATTTTTATGGCGACTTTTTACTTCTACTCCTTACATTTTTACACAAATATCTGTACTTTCTACTCCTTACATTTTAAAAAATTGGCTCGTTACTTTAGTTTTGAATCATTTCAATGGAGTTACCGTTTATTATTTTTCACCTCATCAATACCAAATTCAATCTAATTGGATGGGAATCTACGTTGCATTTGACGCACCACAACAAGATGAATTGACAGATTCTGCGGTATTCATTCGCGGCAAATCATTGCAGCTTGGTGGCGGTGGCGTTAGCATAGTAGCATGGACGACGAGATGATTGAAAATGAACACAACGGAGATCTAGTCCTATTGGCAGACATCCATTTAAAATGTAGGCAACGGCATGAAAAAAGTGGTTTCTACTTTTACTTTTATACTTTAAGTAAATTTACAAGCCTGTACTTTGTTACTTTTACTTGAGTAAAGAAGTTTAATCAGTACTTCCACTTTTACCAGAGTATTTTTTAACACAAGTATCTGTACTTTTACTCGGTACGGAAAGTGAGTACGGAAAGTGAGTACTTTTGCCATCTTTGTTTATTTTTCAGATACCTTAGATATTGTTTGGATCTGTCACATAACATTGTAATGTCATTGTATGTGTGTAGTGATACGTTTGGTTATTTCTTTCCAGATAACAAGGAGATAGCCAGCACTCTTGAAGAGCTTTATGGTGATATTGACGCTCTTGAATTTTATCCTGGGTTACTGCTTGAGAAGACTCGACCGGGGGCCATCTTTGGACAAAGCATGGTGGAAATGGGTGCTCCGTTTTCCCTCAAAGGCCTCCTGGGAAACCCCATATGTTCTCCAGAATACTGGAAGCCCAGCACATTTGGAGGCAAAGTCGGCTTCGACATCGTAAACTCTGCCACTCTGAAGAAGCTGGTGTGCCTGAACTCCAGGACGTGCCCCTATGTGGCGTTCAGAGTTCCAGCAGAGGAGAAACCAGATAGGAACGATGGGAGAGAACGAAGCAATGAGCTATGACCATGTGCAGACCCAGGAGGTTTATGTTTTCTACTCTTCAGCCTGAGGGTTTCGGAGTGACTGCAAAAAACAAGCAAATGATTAAACAGTCTGTTCTGCAAGAATTCCAACTCTCCCATTGCCATCTTGCAGGCTGTCCTACACTTGAACAAACACATCAGTGCAGTGAGGAGTAAAACATCTGTTTTTTTAATAAATTCCTAAAGACTGAAAATTTGTAATTTTGCACTGTCAGAGAATAAAGATGTGTATTTGTTGGTAAATAGTTTTGAGTACATTTTAGCTGCAGAATATGCTGTAAAGGATTAATAAAAATTGGCAGGTAACATCTATTGTTCTTTATATCTCAAGGGTGTCTGCCCCATGAACTGAAATCTCTGAACCTGTATTTATTTTGGCCTGCACTTCAACCCTGACTGGAACGGAAAATCAAACAATAATGTGGAAGCGTGGGCGTCATAAATCCATTACCCACCAGCATTAAAGTGTTGAAAACACGAAAAGATAGAAAACTCAGAGAAATTTCAGGAAAGCATTTGGGATAGATAACAGATAAGTAACCTCTTTTGGAGAAATACATTCATTCAAATCTTCAGGCAATATTTTTTCAGCCTGTTTCTTTTAGATGATTAAAGCTACATTGTTTTGTTTTATAACAGTGCTGGCACCCCAAAGCGTTTTGTAGAACATGTAAAGGAAATCACTGCCCGAATAAAAATGCATATTTGTTGCAAGCTGCAGTTTCCCTGTGCAGGAAACTGCACGGAAGATGGAATTTGATGCATGAGTTCCCAGAATATGTATCTATCTAATTAAATGTCATGTCTTGCGTCATGGCTTCCTACTTTTATTGTCTGCTTTTAGTCTTTAATTTCTCTATAATCCAGTCATTTCTTCCTTTCTTGAGTTCTTTTGTTTTTACTTTTCTATGTTCTTTTTTTCCATTTCTTCCTTTTGTGTTAATCTATTCCTTTGTCCTTTTTTTATTCTATTCTCGTTTTCTTTTTGTTTAATTCTAGGCCTCTACAGAAATATATTTTATAAAGCTACGCTAAACATTTGCGTGGTTTAGCCAAACGCAGTTCCAACTTTTGTAACAAAAAACTATTTATTCCGCGTTTCAGGGTCACGTCGCCCTCTAGTGGAATTGTTTCTAATTACATGTAACGTCTGCAGCAGAGTTTCACCCTTTGACGTCATGTTGTTGCTTTCAGGGCCTTCAAGTAAAGGACTGATGTAATATGCAGCGAATTGGTGGAGGGATTAAGTATAACATGAAAATTAGTTGTAAATTGATTGATTGTTTGATTGACTTTGTTGATCTCACAGTGGAGAAATTTATTTAAACATAGGAAAATATCACCATAAATAGGTGGAATCATTAAAAAAAGAAAAGAAAAATCTAATACTGAATCAGATCAATGCTAAGACACTGATCATAATGTACAGAAAAGAGAATAATTGTGTGTGGCGGCATCATACTCTTCATTTGAGCTTCTGATTACTTTGCACTATACTTTCTAATTCTGGTCCTATAGGCTAGCAGACTTGAACTCTGTCTCTTTCCTTTGATCTCTGGAATCTACTTCTGGTCGCATCTGTTGCTCCTAAAGAGATAGACAAATATAAATATAAATGTTTTACTGTGAAAAACATTTAAAAATGTCACAAGGGAATGTGGATGATCAGTAGAGGTTAATTACTTTTTATCTGTTGATTTTACTTTAAAATGTAAATATATCTTACAACAAAATCAATTCCTGCTCCCTCTTCTATTGACAGTCTTTTCTTCAGCAGAACTTCTGTTTCACCCTTTCAATCCTCAGGCAAGTTTTTATTTCCGTTTGTATTTCAAATTTAAAAGTTTCTTGTGGAATAAATAATACTGAACTGAAACACTAAACGGAAGCCCCACAACAACAAAGCATTGCCGTTGGTAAAAATAAAATAAATAAATAAATAATAATAATAAATAAAAACGTTAGATAAAAAATTTCAAAAACAAAGGAAAAGTTTTGGTTGCGTTTAGGCTTGTAATTCATATTTACAGAGTTTCTTTAAATGCGTCATTGGCAAGGGGCGTGGTTTGTGCGAACCAAGCTAAACAGATTATATAGAGGGCTGGCTAAGCGAGGCGCTACTGTAAAGCGGTTACTGTGTGTTTTCTAAAGTAAGTAGCTATAAATTTGTTAGTCTAACGGTTGTTTTTTAGTTTTAGTTACACAAAATAAATTCGTCGACTTGTGCCATTTAAGTCTAGAATGAGAGCTAGCTAGCCCCTTAGCTAATGCTAATGTGGCTATACCCACTTTATATTAAAACGGTGTGTTAGGAATTTTCCAGAGTTTTTTAATCAATATTAACTTTTTGTTATACACAGAGAAAATACTGACTAAAATCCTGGAGTACGTTGCGATGGATTAACATCGCCAGGTTTATTAAAGGCCTGTTAGCTTTCATTAATCGCACATACCCCATAATAACTACAGAGATGTAATATTCATTAAGGTTAAAAGTGTCTATACTGACCTTCATTGTAATTTTATCACATTAATTGAGTGTTTAAGAAAAAGGAAAGCTAAGATAGATGTTTACAGTGACTGCCTTCTGGTCTATTTGGCTTCCAGTGTCATATTACACTGATCAGAGCAACCCACCCAACAGGCCTTTCAGCTTAAGTTTAATCAGCTGATGTCCTATTTTCCAAATAGGCTTTTTCTCTTTGTCTTAATGAACGTTTGGGTGTCTGTAGTGTGGATTATAGTAGAGCTTAAATTCACGTGAGTTTATATGAGGAGTTTGATCAATCAGACAGCAATTATAGAGCTATAGTCTGATATTTCCTAGTTTGTTTCCACAGCTGGGCCGCTGCCATGACAACTCTGGATGACAAGTTGCTGGGCGAGAAGCTGCAGTACTACTACAGCAGCAGTGAGGATGAAGGCAGTGACAATGAAGATGAAGATGGGGAGAAAAAGACTATCCGTGATGCAAGTGCCTCTGAGCCAGAGATAGACTACAGTGCAGATGGAAGTGCTGTTAACACAGGTAACACAGAGTGAATCCTTAATGAGTTTATTTATTTGTTGTATTGCTTTGTGAGGGAATTAAAATGTGGATGCAAAATTCACATCGATGGGTGTGAGTGTCCCATATCAATCAGTCCCAAAGTATTGCTTTTGCTGCAATATTCAAGCTTCTTGAAGTGTTTGTTTTTACTGAGCCCAGGTCAAAATTTTGCACAGCTTGGTGGGAATTAATGGTTGTGAGAATATTCCAAGAAAAGAGTTGCTCTCATCTGGATACAGCCCCATGTTTTTTCTGCAATTTCTGCTCTGAAGGTTTTTTTATTTTTATTTATTTTTTTGCTGTTCTCAAATTTAAAAACTTAAAGCCGGGCATACACTGTGCGATTTTTATTTTTTATTTTCAATTGTTGCACACAGCTACAGCTCACGATGTATTTTCTCACCTTGTGCGACCTGACGCTCTGATGCGATCTACATGCTCACATTGTAAGTCCAAAAACCACATCGGACTCAGCTCCACAGTGAGATGGCGCTACTCTGACTCGTCTATCTGGAAACCAAATGAGTAGAAGAGGAATATGAACCTCACTGGAGTGAAACGCGCTGCCTTGGCAATTTGTGCAATTTTGTGCTAAAAGCCCTAAAAAGAAGAGTCGACGACGTATTAGGACAAAGACATGGCTGAGCAAACCTGGCTACTACGGTCTGTCAATTTTACAGTAAGAACTCCATTTCACTCGCACCCCTGCCATGCTTTTGTTTTCATCTGAGAGGAAGAAGAAGAAAAATCCTTTTTTTTTTTTTTTAGCATGCCCACTGAGCGATTTGCCCACGACGGCCAACATGTTTGATGTTATCTCAACCTTACGATTCCTGATCGTAAGGTTGGTCGTAAGAGGCTGATCTCCCCTCTTTACCCCCTGTACACTACATGATCAAAAAATTCTCACACGACTGGAAAGTTGGCCCAATAAGGGCGAAAAATCGTACAGTGTAAGCCCGGCTTAAGTCTTGCCATAGATTCTCAGTTGGAGTTACCGGTAGTTCTGGACTTTTGAGTTTTCAGCCGTTAAACATACTTCGGCAGACACAGACAAATCAGTAGTAATTCTAGCTGTATGTTTTTCTTTTAAATGCTGAAGAACACCAGCCCTTCAGGAGTGGAGTTTAATATCCCTGATATAAAGTCTAAAGTCAGTTTTTCTCTGGGAATTTTCTTCAATCACTAAACCAGCTACCATGTAGATGTAAACATCCCACAGCATAATGCTGCTACCACCATGCTTTACCCAAGGGAAGGTGCATTCAGGATTATGTAGTGTATTAGTTTTCTACCTCAAAAAGCATATTTACTGTTGGATGGAAAGCAACATTTTATAAATAACCTGACTAAAAGCACCTTTTTCCCCAGGTTTGCTGTGTTTCGTAATAGATTATGCCTAACTGAAACTGACCTCCTTAGTCTTTCATCTTGGCACTCGCAAATAAAAGACTCTTTAAAGTTCAACAGTTGTTTGCTTATAATTTCTCATTCTGAATTAGGATCCATTTAGCCAAAAATCTAAATTGTGATTATTTTCAACAAATATTAAAATTTTATTTAAATTTCCTTTGCACTAACCACAAACATGTAAATGTGTCACTCCCTGGTTTCAGCTCTTTTATGGCCTTGAAAGCTTTTTTGTCCAGAGTCCATTGTTGCAGGACTTTACCGTAAATTTTGTTTGGAAAAGTTCTCACTTCTACTTGCATGACTGGCTGGAAGTAAATTTCTGATCTGGTGAACTTTAAAGTGCCTTGAGATGAAATGTTGTGAATTGTTGCTATAGAAATAAACTGAATTGAATTTAATTAAATGACTGGAGTGGGGGAAAATGAGTCTCTAGGTCTTGTTAAATGTAATCCGACCATCATTGAGTGTCTTGAAAATTGCAATTTGTTATGTGTTTTTAACCTTAACCTACTTTATAGGAAAAATAACAAAAGCATAAATAAATCTATTATTTATTTTCATATCTGATCACAAATAAAGTCACATACATACATACAATAAAGATACATACACATTTATGCCACACTTTTCAGATTATTATTTGTAAAGACAAATTTGATAATTTTTATCATGTTTCTTTCACATTTATTGACTGCTTAGTGGTAATATATCCCCTAAAATCCTAACAAAAGCATTAGGATTTGGTTTTTCTGTAACAAATTGTGATGAATTCTGAGGTATGCCTTTTGATCATTAATAATAAATGGAAGCATGGATTTTGAATGTTCCCTTTCAGGTCCAAAGGGAGTCATCAATGATTGGAGGAAGTACAAGCAGCTGGAAGTGGAACAGAGGCAGGAGCAGAAAAGGGAAATGGAAAGACTGATAAAGAAGCTGTCAATGACATGCCGCTCAGACCTTGACCTGAAAAAAGACAAAGAGGAGGAGAAGAAGCTTCAGGACAAAATTAAAAGCAAAGTAAGCAGGAAGGAATTGGGAATCACTAAGAAAAACTATGTAGGAGCCTAAACTTAGGAATCTACAAACTAGCTGTCAATGTTATCTTTTTTATGACCTTACTAGTAACACAATTATAATGACTAATGAACACAATTTATTTTCATAGATATCTATTCACTTTTTACAGAATTCATTGTGATCTGATCTAACAAATTCTCCTGAACATTAGGTGACTTTCTTGTTTTTCTCTTGTTCCACAGATGACTATGCAGGAGTACAACATGCTCCAGGAGGAAGAGGACGATGAAGACTTCCTGCAGCAGTACCGCATGCAGCGCATCGAACAGATGCGGCGCCAGCTCTGCCGTGGAAAACGCTTTGAGCGCGTTCATGAGCTCAATAGCGGGGAGGAGTTCCTGGAGGCTTTGGACAACGAGGACAAGAGCACACTGATAATGATCCACATCTATGAGCCAGATATCCCCGGCTGCGACGCCATGAGCGGCTGCCTGATGTGCCTGGCACAGGAATACCCTCTGGTGAAGTTCTGCAGCGTGCGCAGCTCAGCCATCAGCACCAGCGAGCTGTTCAGAGAGAGCGCCCTGCCCGCTCTGCTCGTCTACAAAGCAGGAGACCTGATAGGCAACTTTGTGCGGCTCACCGACCAGCTTGGGGAGGATTTCTTCGCCGTAGACCTGGAGGCGCTTCTACAGGAGTACGGCCTGCTGCCGGAGAAGCCCCCTATCGTCCCAAAAACACTTCGTAACGGAGCCATCATTCAGAGCAACGTGAGCGATGAAGACTCAGACCTTGACATAGACTAGTTCTCTATTATCCAGTATGTACATTTCATTTGGTAAACCTGCACACCCCGTTAGCATGGACTGTATATCATATTTATTTCTGAGAACCCCTTGTAGAGGTCCTGCTCTCATCTTACAGCACCAGAGCCAAAGCAGAAGAAGTAAATGACTTCATATCATTCCTTTCTGAATATTTGGACATTATCATATTGTTTGAAACAGAGAGAGTAATACGGCTGTATGTACAGTTCATTTAATCCTTGAAGCTCTCATGGTTGACCTCTATCTTCTGTGTTCATTCATTCCTCTGCATTGTTTCCTAGCTTGTCAGCTCTATGAAATGTTTCACTCTTAACAAAGTTGAACCTTTAATTCCAGACTGACATTTTATTAGTTTTGTAACTTTTCTATGTGCTGTAACCTGAAATAAACTGCAGCGTGTTTCAAAATGAAATATTTTTTTTCTTTTTTTTTCTTTTTAAAGAATGGCCATTAGGGCTCACTATCCTGCTCGTTTTAAGCGTTAACAAGTTGCTACAGAACGGACTTGTTTGAACGGCTCGTTGACAGGCATCTGCAGCATTTGATCCCTGCTGAGGAAGTAATGGTATCTGTTCAATCAGGTATGCTGGAGGGGAGACACAACTAAAACAATTAGCCCTGAGCAGCAGGGTAAGAAACACTCTTAAAAAAAAAAAAAATAAGACTCAGAAGGAATGCAGAATGTATAGGTTTGAGGTTGAATAAATGAAAATGCAGATGGGTGTTGTTAGTTTTAACCAAAAAATATAGGCCTGCTTGCGACTATATAGAATCTAGCCTGCTATCCCAAGATAAACAAAAACAGCTGCAGCTCTTTCTTGCAGGTTTGAAGCCCAGTCTCCATCTCCAAACCAAACACAACTCTGCTTCCCCTGTCAGCAAAAGATATCGTCTCACATTAGAGAAGGTTATTTCTATTTTACTAGAGTTAGTCTTTGCAAATATATGAACAACCTTGCATGAGAATATGTGGCCTTTGCGAATCTCTACACCATGAAACTTAAATGTTTGACTTCTATTTCCCTAGCAATTTTAAACACTTGCTTTATTTAAATATTTATCTTCCACCCTACTTTTCCTCATATCTTTCACTTAAACATCTCGCCAAAGGCTACGCTCACAGGACTTGATCTCCTTCATAAATCCACCAGTGCAATCAGAACTTGTAGAAAAAAATCATTCTCCTTCTCTGCTCCATTAATATCAGATACTCTGCAACTGGATCTAAAGCTTTCCCCCGTAATTCTCTTGAATGTAAGTCTCTGTTGAGACAAAAAGAGAAATCTTTTTATGATACTTTTCTTGTTTTGAGCTCAATTTTTCAATTCCAACTGTATCCCAAAAAAGCCCCATCGTTTGTAGCTCTATCTTGTCAAAATAGCAATGAAAATCTAAACCATTTGCCTTTAGAGTCACCCTGAATAATGTAATAAAAAGAAAATCCAGTATTTAATCTCTTCAGGCCGTTATGTTATTATGGCATTAAACCCCATATGGTTATCTGCTGTTTTCCTGGAAACTGTAGGTGTGCTTGAAATCTATGCAAAATTGTTCACCCTTATTTATTTATTTTTTTATCATGCCAATGGATTTTGAAAAAACAAAAAAGAAAATTACGGTGTGGAAAGATTGATAATTGGGCTTAATACAATAAAAATGCAAATAAAATAAAATGCAGTTTTATTGTTTTTTATTCATAGGTAACCAAAGCATTTAAAATCTGTTATTGTGACTTTTTTATATTTCAAATTACGCCAGCAAAATATTATTTCTTTTATTGGCCTTTATATGGTTGTGTGACACAAATTGACTCATAACTATAAGGTGGTTTGTTACATAAAATCCTAATAAAATACACAGATATTTGTGGGTTTGATTTATAGAAATGAAAGAATATAAACCAGTTTGCAAAATATGGCTAATTCAGAGTTAAAGGTGAACTCATCCATCCTGGGAATAATCGCTCTCAGATGGATGAATCTGGGGAGTGATTATCCCTGAGATGGCAACAAAACTCACCGCTTGATTAAATCACTGTTTGGTTCCCAGATTAATCCCATCATGCCAAGAGATTCTGAGTCCAACAATAAGACAACTGGGTGGCAAAGAAAACAGGTTAATTGAGTCTACAGGCAGCTGTAAAGCACTGTGAGACAGGGCAGCAACAGGAGCAGGGGGATTGCTTCCTCATAGAAAGGGGCTGCAGAGCTGTGCACATCATGTCCACAGAAGGCGTTCTCCAGCAGCAGATGAGTTTCAGCACTGATGCCTGTTACAGAGGGAGAAGCACACTCTCATTATCCTGTACTGGATCTAAGTAGGAAAAGCTAATACTGTAGGTTTACTGGCTCTCTGCAGCTGTAAATAGTGCTGCTACCAAACCCAGTAAATCCACTATTATATCTCAGTAGTCCTTAGCGCTACACACCGTGTTGTGACCATTCCTCCCACAGGTGCTGAACGTCTTCATTACGATGCCTGTGGTGTTCATAATGATCCGGATCTGCATGTGAAACACAGCAGCTTTTTTAGCTTCAGTTTAAAGCTATATACATATATATATATATATATATATATATATATATATATATATATATATATATATATATATATATAAGCTATAGCTATATATATATAAGCTATATATATATACATATATATATAGCTATAGCCTATTTATATACATATGTATATACAGTATATAGCTAAGGAAAAATACACTATAGCTTTACAAAGAAAGAGCTGATAAGTAATTTATGCATTTTTATGTATGTCTTTTTGTTGTGAGAGAACAGTTTCTTAAGTAAAAAATCTTGTTTTTTTTGTTTCTTTTTTGCTTATGTCTGCAGAAGGACCCTAATTGGCAAATAGAGTCAATCTGTCAACATTAGCAGTCACACCATGCATGTTAAGTGCACACTGCAAATTATTTGGTTCCTACCAAGATTAATAAAAGGTATATTAAGAAGTGTTACTTAAGTGAAATCATTTCACTAAATGCACAGATAATTTCAGTTGGAGTGAATATCTTTCCCTTGGGATTTTCTTGTTTTTAGACACATTTCTGTAGTGCCCAGTTGTGGAGAGGTTATGAAATGATATTCACAGCTCATTTTGTGGAGAACTGTTCAACAGATCAAACAGGCAAAAAAGATTTATGCAAAACTGCAAACCAATTTTAACCAGAGGCAGCAGTCAAGACAGCCTTGGTTACTCTGATGTATCATCAGAAATCATCAAAGCAGGAAATAAAAATCTGATTTGGATGGTGTGCAGATAATTAAAAACCGGATCTCTCTCTTGAGGTGGGATTTGGTCTTGAGTCCAAATCCCAGCCTGATATCGGAGTTGCCCTTTGTATCTCTGCTTCTTTCTGTATGTCTGCTTCTGACTCCTTGAACCCCAGTCGCTCTTGACAGATGGCTCCTGACACTGAGCATGATTCTGCTTGAGGTTTCTTCCTGTTAAAAGGGAGTTTTTCCTCTCCACTGTCGGAACAAGCATGTTTGGTGTGAGGGATTTTCTTTGAGTCAATAAATCGATACAGTCAGCTGTTTTTTCTTAGATAGAAAACTTTGAAACAATCTGACTGTATGATCTGGTTGAATTGTCTCTGTGAAGTACCTTTACATGACATGTGTTGTGAATTGAATATAAACTGAATTGAAGAAATCCAAATATAAGGGGCATCTTACATCTTGCTACTATAATAGTCTTGTCTTTTATTTTCTGTTTGCACAGCATAGTTAAAAAAAAAGCAACAATCTCATACCATTAGTGTGATGCCACAGCATTCGTTTCAGCTCTCCGAGGGCCTGCGTTAGGTTTTCCAGTTGATCATGGAGGTGAATGTTCTCCTCTATTAGGGCATGGATTGTGTCCTGGAGCTCAAAGCCTTGACCTTCCAGCTCCAGCAGCATCAGCAGCAAGAAGAAAATAGCTGGTTTCAGTCCTGTCATAATGACCACCACACAGAGGCCTCTACATTTCTTCACTGACAGATGGACGTTGTTTCCATTTTGTGCATCTGTATCCCCTGGTGATTGGTGTGGGAGGTTTTATGAGCTTAAATGGGTGGGTGGGGGTGGTAGGAGTTTGATCTTTAATTCCAAAGCCATGAGTGGAAAGCTGCCAGAGGGCTGCTTAAAAATCTATCAAATTATTCTACATCAGTGAGCACAGCAGAACAAAGCCTGTTAGCTGCAGAATCATGGCATGAAAATGATGTACTGATTAAATACCAGACTAGTCCAGGTACAAGTTCAGAAGCAAACTCAGCAATTTCAGGACTATAGGAGAAATAGGTGATCAATCTTCCTAAAGTATTCTTAATTGGGAAGTTAAATACAGCCATTGTTGTCTGGTGAATCTCCTAATGGCAAATTAAATCCTGACAAATAAACTATTGCTTCATTCATATTTAATAACATCACCTATATAAGCTAAAGATAATGAGTTCTGGTCAGTGATGTCAGACAATTTGCTCTGAATAAAATTAGGTCAGTTAAACTGATTGTCCTCTCTGACCCATTTGTAGCTGCTGCAAAGTCACTCTAGGTGACGAAAAGGTCCAAATTTGTTTTTTTTTTTCTAGGTTATTTCTACCATGTTGGCCAAAGTATAAAGCTTTTAAAAACTTATTTTTAAAACAGCAGTCATTTTGTCTTTGATTTGAAGCCCTATAGCCACCTATTTAGCATTAGCAAACAGCTAATGTTTGCTCCTCTGAGGCCTTGTTTAATGCAGCACGGCCCCTACCCCACCTGTTGCTGCACATTGCTAACTGAAAGGTTACTTCCTCACTTTTAGGACTATCAGTAGTTTGGAAATATATCTGATCATATCAAGAACCGTGATGAATAAAACACACAAGTCACAATCGAGTTTTAAAACAGCAACTGTTATGGTAAAAGTTGCACTTCTAGCAACCTGCTAAAAGTAGTTAGCACTTAAAGAAATCTAGCTGGTTCTATATTTTTCTGTAGGCCTTGGACAGGGCTGCTCAGGTTCAGTCCACAAAAGTTATCCTGCATCTTTTTGATGCACCCTGTTTTAAACACACCTGAATCAAATGAGTGGCGTTTTACCATGCCGCTGCTGAGCTACGTGAGGGAATACAGCCTTTAGATTCAGGTGTGTTAGAGAAAAGATGCGTCTAAAAGAAAAAAATGTTTTTTTTGTTGCGCCACCCAAGCTTTTACTTTGATCTTACTGGTTCATGCATCACGTTAAAGGCCGGTCAGGTTTTAAATAAACTAGAAAGTTAAGTTTGATCAACAGATTCGAACTTAAATAGTTAAATGTTCACATTTCTACACACATATTGGTACCAGTGAAATATTTTAAGAAACTAGATTAACTAAATTTATTATTAAAGACACAGAAATACGTCATGTTTTTTTTTTTCCAAACAAGCTTTTATTTATTTTTCATGTGTATTTGTTTATGCTGTCTTGACAGCCCTGGTGCGCTTCTTTTTCACCACAACAGGCTTCTGGCTCTTCAGAATGGCACTGGCACGACGCAGGGCAGCCTGGGAAGAAAAAAACAACAAATCATAATCTTGAAATAGTCAATGCTTTCTTAGACACTATGAAGCAAAACAAAGATATAACTCACCATGCGCAGGTCCTTCCTGTAGTTGTTCTTGCGAATAATGTGCCTCAGGCTGTTGAGGGTGGCACGGGAGTTCTTGTTGATGGTGACCTTTACGTAAGATGCGGCAGGCTTGTGCTGGCCTATGCAAAAAAAGAAAAAGTTTTTACATCAGTCATGACAGAGTTAACACTTTTCTTAAATCATCATAAAGCATCTAAAATGTACACAAGGCTGCAGGGGAGCCTTTATGCAACATGAGCTATACTAAAAGGGGAATATTGTAGTTTTACCTGCACGTCTCTTCAGCACCACAACAACACCCTTGCCATCAGCTGCTGGCTCAACACCGACAGTTTTCTTGTGCACCAAACCGTTGAAGCGGAAAGAGTTCCTGGACTTCAGATTGTTTGGCTCCTGTAATGAAAAACAAAACAGAAAAACAATCATAAACCTTCAGGCTTATTAATGCTGTCTGCAGTAAAATAATAACGAACAAATAAAGAGCAATCTTCGTTCATCAACTGCTCCCTACAAAATATAATTTAGGGAATCTAGAGCAATAAAAAAAAAAAAAAAATGTGTTGGCCCTAAACAACATGAGAAATTCTTTTGTTGACAAAGAAACTGCCGACTGTGGAACAAAAACCTCTAACATTTTTTAACTTGACTGGTGTTTTCTAGTGCCACAATCAAAAATCCCATCTTTTTGAGGTCAACTAAAGTATTAAAGACTAGAGGATGTGCTGAAAGATTGCTACTCAGAGCCCTTTTCAAGACATTGGCACAAGAGGGACAAGTGAAGTAAAATGGAGAAAGCTAAATATCTCCATTCAGCCATTTGAAGAGAGACCCAAAAAAGATGGTGTGTGGGTTATAGTGTTACTTGTAACAAGTGATCAAGATTTAATTACAGGAAAGAACAACATAAAACTTTAATGTTTCTTTATCTTATTGCTTTGAGCCCTCTGTGTAAAATCCTGGATTTAAAATGTAGAAAACTTTTTGAATATCTCAGTTTTATTAGGCAACTTTAACACCCGAATGTTTCAACTGCTAATATAAGAAACTGACAGCAGTTTAAAGTTTTAACCACAGACATCGTCATTCTAACATAGCACTCCATTACTTATTTTTCTTCCTACTTCTGTCTTCTACTCATTACATTTTCGCACAAGTATCTGTATTTTCCATTCCTTACATTTTTAAAACAAATGTTACTCGTTACTCTTGGCTTCGGTTTAATGTTTATAAATATTGATTTCACATCATATTCGCCATCCAATGATCATTGGCACAATCCACATCTAGTGAAAACTAGTATACTTGGATGAGTCATAACATACTCATTTGTTAGCTAAAGGAAATCATCAGAAGGTGTTCTTCAAACTGCAAACATGAATTGTCTATGCCATGCTAGGATGTTGGATTCAGAAAAAGATGTTGAAATGTCTGAAAGGTCGAACAGATGAGAAAGTATCGGGAGATGGAGACCAACAACACCCCCCCACCCCTTTGAGCTTTCAATTCATATAGTGGCATCTGGCTTTTTTTTTTTTTTTTTTAAGATGACTTTATATTTTTTGTTTTTAGACCACATATTTTCTAACTTTTACCAGAGTGTTTTTAAACTGCAGTATCTATGCTTCTACTTAAGTAACAAATGTGTGTACTTTTGACACTACTGCTTAATGACATAAAATGAAAAGGGTGTTAAAATCGTATTTTCCTTTGGAATACCACAACATTAAGGTTGGTTCTCATCCTTCTACACAGATGCAGGCTTTTTGGTAGCTAGGAGCTCTGAGTGTACTTACAGTGCTGTAGGTCTGTCCATTCCTCTTGAGGAGGAAGCTGGAGCAGTTCCTGATGACCATCCACTGCAAATGGGATGACATGATGAACCTGAAAAACAGTGTATGGCTATGTGAGAAACATTGACCAGCATCTGATCGCTATCCACTTAAGATTCTTAAACTCTAGAAACTATTAAAAGCTTTTTGAGCAAAGTAAAGCCAACCATTCCGTTTCGAACTTTGATTTAAACAAGGTATGGATAAATATTTAGTCAGGGATCTTTATATTAACGTTCTATTTTACACATTAACGTCTAGCGAAACCCGCTAGCGTTAGCTTCACTCACTCATCAGTTGACGGTGAGGCCTAAGTTAGCCAACATACAGGCACGTTTATCCTTAGTTTTATAAATAGAACAGGACAGTTTACTGTCAAATAAGGTATGCAACATTAAACTATGTCAGGCTATCGAGCTTTATTAGTGAAAAAATAATCACGGACTGATAACATATCTATTTTATTTACCGGGTATTAGCAGCCAAGCGACCACGTTACCTTTTAGCGGAGGAAAAGGACCAGAGAGAGCGGAAATCGCGTCAAGCATCCTTTTCTTAGATCCATGCGCACGAAAAAACACAGTTTTATAAATATGTTGTGAGGTGAGCCAGATTTCTGTATCTAAAAACTAATAAAACGATGTATTTATAAAATAAAGATGAAAAAATTAAACGTTATTTGCCTACCAGCACTATTTATTGGCGTTTTATGAAAAACTAGTTCCTAACGACGACAGCGGAGGGACAAATTCAATACTCCTTTTGTAAATTACGTCATTATTGTGCGTCGCATGTTTACAGTTAGAAATGAGCTCTAAATAACAACTTATTTTAATGCATAATGACAGAGTGTCATCCTATATTAAGGCTTATTAATAGCGTGGTGGATTTGGAGTATTGAAAGGGCGTTTATTATAAGAATTATCTGCATTATTTGACTGTATTTGCCATCAGTTTTTGACAGATGTTTTTTTTATTGTTCTTATTGGATAACGTGAAACTTAAAGTTCCAGCACCTACAACTATTCTGGAAATCTATTATCCCAAGGATTTTCTACAGTTCATTATGGCGGGTAAAAGCTAAGTCTTAATGGGAATGGTCGAGTATGGACAAAGAAGAAGATTTGGAGACACTTGGTGAACAGCTTTATTCTATGATTTACCCCAAACACAAGGAGAGTGCTGGAAAACTCACAGGTGAGCTTATTGGACTCTGCAAAAGATAAAATTGCTAGATATAAAAAGTGATGGTTTAAATATGCAAATAACATAACTTAAAATCTCAAGGAAAGTGTTATTTGCCTTAAAAACTGTTTTTGTTGTGTTTTAGGTATGTTGCTTGAGCTTCCTAAGGCTGTTCTCAGCCAGATGCTGCAGGATGAGGCCATACTGACAGCAGCTTTGGAGAAAGCCCTAAAAGCTCTGCAGGCGGCACCAAAGTCCAGGTACAACAGGCTAGAGAATAGAGTAATGATTCCTTTTATTTTTCATTTTTATTTTTTAAGGCTGATAGATTCTAAGCAGGTTAACAAGGTTAGATGAGGAACCAGCATGCTTTGATACCTGCTTAACTGCATTAGACTCAAATGCAATAAACGATTTTCTTCTTACATAGCTTGGCATAAGCTTTTTATTAAAGATTTTCATATTATAGTACAGAGCATGATCAGTATTTATGATATAAAGCATAACAATGGTGATGAAGTTTTTGACTCTCTGGAAGAACAGCTGTTTGAGTTGGTGGATATTTGCAACACTGGCTACTCTCAGAAAATAACAGGTAAGTTAAATATTCCTACTTTATAGAAACCTAGAGGGGTGACATTTCAGTGTACATCTTTTTATTTATTGATTAGTTTCTCCATTTGGCCTTCAGTCTTCAATTATATTTACATTTATGGTAAACACTGCAAATAATTGTTGATTAATCGTATCTTCTTTCATGTAGTCAGCATGCAGTGTTTATAATTTTTGCCTGTAGCCTGCAAACGGAGCTGTAAAATATTCTTACCCCTATTGAATGATGAGACTCATTGAGTTTCCAAACCATATGGTCAGGGTTTTTAAGACCAAGTACATTGTTCTATACTCAAAGCTGTTTAAACAAGTGTAGTAGTCTTCTTTAAGGTAGAGCACAGCAGTAGGTAGGGGAGGGGCAGCCTTGTGCTACTCTGTGTTGCAAACAGCTGAAGAAAATCACAGATGAATAACCTTAAAATGTCTGAGCAATTAGAATGCTATGGTGTACATTTTTAGCAGCTTCGATACCAGGGAGGACGCTTTTGTTCTACATGGCAGCTGTAGCCGTGTGGGAGGCATATAACCCGTTTTTTTTGTGTTTTTTTTTTTTAAATCAACATTTTATTGACTTTTAATCACTCATATTTTACTAATAAATCAGCAGACTAACACTGCAGGTTCTTAAAATTATGTCTCAGGATTTGTCCGCGTGTCACATTCCATCTCAGATAGTTTATTCTCCTGTTACTGTGATTGTTTACAGTGAGGTAACACATAACGACGATGATGATGTGTCCGAGTCCTCTGACTCTCTGGGAGAACAGCTGTTTGAGTTGGTGGATATTTACAACACTGGCTACTCTCAGAAAATAACAGGTAAGTTAAATATTCTTACTTTATAGAAACCTAGCGAGATTACATTTCAGTGTACATCTTTTTATTTATTAAATAGTTTCTCCATTTGACCTTCAGTCTTCAATCATATTTGCAGTTAAGGTTCCTTTTGCTATTATCTCATTTGTGGTGAATCTAACTAAATATTATTCTTTTAAAATAAAAGCAGCCATTTAATTGAACTGGGGTGAATGGATGTTATGCAAACCATTTGTACCTGGAAGCAGTGGTTCCAGAATGTTTTGGCTACTGACAAACAAAAAATACCCCAACATTAGTTGAGCATAGAAGCATTTTTTTAGAGTCTGATTAAACAGGGTTTCATTGATAACAGCATGTATAGCAGGTGTATAGCTTGCATGTGTTTATAAAGGCTGATTTATTCTCTTTCAACATTTGGAGTATAAGTGCTTTGTAACACATTAAGCTGTTTGCTAAATTCATACTGTAAAATATGAAAACGACTGTCAGTTTGAATGTCATTTCTGTTTGTTTTAATTCCATGACGCAACATTAGTGATGTATCTTCCTGTGCAGTAAAAAAGTATTTTATTTTGTCCATAGGAATGTTGTTGGAGCAGCACAAAGAGGCCGTTTTACAGCTTTTGTCAGACCCCAAACTGCTTGAAGAGCATGTGAACATCGCTCTGAAGACACTAAAAGAGTTTGTGGTTTTCTACTCTGGACAGGCTTTTCATGAAACATGTGTCTCTTTTTGGAGCCCATTCTGCGATTTACCATTTACAGCATGTATTTTGAAATGACTAATGAATTCTGCCTTCTTCTTCAGGCAAAATATAGAGGAGACAGATCTCAGTGACGCTTCAGAAGCCGATGAGACAGACAGGCTAGGAGAGAAGCTCTTCTCATTGGTTGAGCAGATGGATTCACTGCATGCAAATGATATCACAGGTGAAGTGACACTGATTTATTAATCATTCAGCTTGCACCTTTTCTTGATGTCACACAGTTCTGATAAACATCCACATATTTCTGTTTTCAAGGTATGCTCCTGGAGATGGACTCGGCTTCTATCCAACAGCTGCTCAGTGACCCGGCAAAGCTGGAAGCTGCAGTTCAAAAAGCACAAGCAGTTCTGGATGCTGTGAGCTAAGCTGAATTTGATTAAAAACTGCAAATTCTGAAGGACCTTATTTAGCGCTTTTCTAATTTCTTTTTAACATTTTCCCATCAGTGTCTACTGAAGAAGTGATCCATCCCTTCTGCTTCCCTTTGCTGCTGAACTGTTAACTTTTTTTTTTTTTGATCAAATTGTTTACATTGCTGAATAATAGGATTCTTGCTGTTGAGAACTTACATAAAAGTTTAATATGCTGCTTTAATTAGTTTGTATTACAGCAAAAAAAAAAAAAAAAATAGTTCAGCTTCTTTGAAATCCAGCCGATTTTAATATAAATCATATTTAATTATGTAACCGTAAGAATGTTGTTATATGTATATTTGTAATAGAAATACCCCACTGATTATATAGAGGTTTGTTACTATTTTTTATTCTTTCGCACAGCAGCAGATAATTTAAAATTTTAAAAGTTTTAGCCTGATCTAATAATGTGTGTGCTTCCAAGTCCATAAACATTTCAGAGTTAAGAAAATATATGCTAATTTGTTGTAGTTATACATTCATGTTATTTAAAACATGACTTGCTGCTGTACTATCGAGGAAGGAGACATCAAGCTGGTAACAGTTGGTACTGACACAGAATAGCCCTTTGGATCCATTCTGTTAAACCAGCCTATTACTTATTAAATGTGTTGTACGCTTTTGGACAAGTAGAACTTCCATCTTCCAAAAGTCTGTTCTTTGGAAAGAGTTTTTCCTCTGTGTGAAATAAAGTTATATTTTATTTTTTTTTGGACCTAATGGCTCACTCATTGAAAAATGTATTCAGATCTTGTTTGAGTCATGTTTGAAACAGGCTGACAGAGCTTTGAAACCCCTAAAGAGTTCTGGTTCAACCAATGATCTAAAATCAAAAATAAATTCCACTTTTTTTTTTTGTACAATCTGTCAGTTTAAACACCTTTTCTGAAAAAGCCACAGATGTATCACACCATCAAGACCAAGGATGGCTCTGATAAAGTTGCTTATAAAAACAAATCCGGGGTGGAGTTATAGGAAAATTCTAAATGTTTATAGTTATCCTGGAGCAACATGAAATTTAAGATCATATGTAGAGCAGATGGCACCACAACAATCCCGTCAAGAGAAGGCCAGCCCTCAAAGCTCACCAAGGGGACAATAATCAAATGGCACAGAGTTCCACAGCAGGGACAGAAGTAGCCTTACCACCCCATAGGAATCTTGAGTTTATCAAAAAGCATGTAAGTGACTCCCCTCATGTATGGAGGAAGGAAAAAAAAAAAAAAAAGAAGTTTTGTTCAGACTAAAATTGAGCTCCTACCAAGGAAAACATGTTTGGTGCAAACTCAGCCCCAGAACACCATTCCCACAGTGAAACCTGTGGAGGCAGCACCATGTTTTAGGGATGCTTATCAGCAACAGGGAATTGAAAACTGCTCAGTTAAGAAAACAGTGGATGTTGCTAAATACAGGGATATATGGAAGCGGATTAGGGCCACTGAAAAAAAAACAAAAAAAAAAACGTAACAGATTTTTAAATTTTATTTCAGTTTAATATAGGAAAAAAGTCAGAATTCCGACTTTAATCTCAAAATTCCATCTTTCTCGGAATTCCGACTTTCGGAATTCAGACATTTTTCTTGGAATTCTGACTTTTTTCCTACATTAAACTGAAATAAAATGTAAAAATTTGTTAACTTTTTAAATTTTCTCAGTGGTCCTTATCCTCTTCCATAGGGATATTCAGGGACAAAACATGCCTTTATATTGAGATGGGTCAGAGGGCCATCTTCCAGCAAGACAATGACTCAAAGCATAATGCTAAAACAGCTTTATGGTGGATTAACAAAACATATTCACATATTTTAACCCTTTAAATGGTATAAAGCCTGACATGTTTTAAATAATTTGTATAAATTGGTAAATTCCTACATTACATTGGCCAATTTTACAGCTCACATTGGTAACCTTAGCCTTCCTTTTGCAGAAATAAAAGACGGCAAACTTGATTCAAAGTTAGTTTTTATATAGTAAATGACACCATTAGACATCTCTATCAAAGTGCTACAGAGCGCAAAAATAAATTTATTACCATTTGTTTCCATTATTTGTATTGATTTTTTCGTTGATTTCACAGTTGAAATTCCAGGACAATGGGAAACATCCTCGCCTCCAGCTTTTAGAAGCTCAAACTGACGTTGACGAAATAAACGAACAAGTAACATTTGAGACACCTGTCAGATTTAGGGTTTACATTTGTAAACTAAAATGACAACGTATTTAGGGTGTGGCTAGCTCACAGTTTATTTTTATGCAGAAGCAGCCAATACAAACCAATAGATTACGATTGTTGTAATTTCTTTAATCAATAATGCATCTGGTCAAAGACTATTTGGAAAAAAAATTAGTATTCTCTCACACACACACACACGCACTCACCTTTTGTCTACAGGTCATAAATACAATCGATCTGATATACAAATATTTGGATAGATTCATTTTCTGCAATATTTAAAATCCATCTTGAATTCCGGCTCTTGCTATTCCAACAATCGTCCCTCAATTTGAAGTGGACAGCTCCGAATTTGGAGAGGAAGTTGGACAAAAAGACCCCCTAGTTTAATAACTAATGGGGGAGGGACCGGGGTTCAATAAATACCTGAAAGAAGCAGCGACCAATCACTGCATACGTTTCTTCAGGGTTCTTTCAATGGACCTAAAGGAAATGTCTACACAGCAAGACAAACAAGCAAAATGATCACAAGATGCCACCTTCAACACAGATGCTGCTTTTAGAAATCTCCTGTATGAAATAAAAAAAAAAAAAGGTGCCAGTTGCTTCTTATCCTTCACACAACCACCCTGACATGGAGCTCGGACAAAAAAAACGAGTGTAAAATGGGACACTGGATGATCATGCTGCTTATAGTGTTACATCTGGCAGCTTTAGTTTAGTGAGGCATTTATTGTAGACTATTTATGCCAACATGATAGCACAGTTTGTTTAAGAATGTATTCATGATGCAAATCACTTTCTAACCCCCGTTTTGGTTTCAGGAATAAGCCCTTCATGGAAACTCTCATTTGTGACAAACACACCAGTGAAACCTACTGGGCTGATGGTTAAAAAAACAAAATGAAAAACTGGTTAAGCTGTTTGGACGAAAACCCACATAATGAGATCAAGCTTTTAAATGAAGGCAAGAGGAGGAGTTCTTTAAGACAGAGAGCAGTATGTCCGTGTGCTTCATTTACTTCCAGGTAGAATCACATTTTGTCCATTTAGTTCAGTTATTTAGTCTCTCTTGGATGTTCCTTTACTTCGAAACTGGATAGCGCTGGCTCAACCGACTAGACCGTGGTCCACCTCCTGATGGCGCACTTGTCTGGGGAAAAAAAATGAAATAACAAGACGGAAAAGAGAAAATGTGAACAAACAGATAATAAGTCATAAGTGACCATGTGTGCCGTTTTAAAAGCCTCACCTGTGCAAACTGAGCAGGGTTATAAAAAGTGACACCTCCGGTGGGTGCAGTACCCTGGGCAGGATGACTCTGTCCGGGAAGAAGCAGATAACAGTTTATTACTTTCATGTTGACAGAGAGAAAATCTAAAAGCTATGCCCAAATAAGGCAGGAAATGTAGAATGGATCTATATTGATGAAGCATTACACGCGCTGTTAGGGCTTGTTTTAGTAGCTGTGCAAGTTGGACGGCAGGGTTAGAACAACTCTAAAAGGACAAATGCAGTCTCCAGCACGATTCATCGTGTAACACCCTTTTGTCATACATTTTAGCACAGATATATAATTGAGAATTTTCTATAAGGTCACAAGTAATCAAACCCTTGCATTTTCTTTTTCACATTGCCACCACTAGCTGATGTATTTCGGTGGGGTTATAAGTGATAAAATAAAACACCAAACACAACTGTGAGGTAGCTTCTTTTTTTTTTTTTTTTTTTTTAAGATATTCTTCTATTTCTTTAGTGATCACATTACATGTTACAGTATTAAGGGGACCAAACAGGACATGAGCTCCATAGCTCCACTAAGACATGGCTGCCAAGCTTAACTGACCAGCCAGGTGGTGAAAGTTACTATACGGAAGCTACGGTGACACAAATGTGATTTAATTCATTCAGTCAGTCAATTTTTTTTTTCACCCATGACTACTTCTAACAGAAAAAAAAATATTTAGCGAGAAGAAAATGTGATGATATTCATGCAATAAAATAGTCCAGACTTTAATTTTAATCCAACAGTCTGCTGTAAAATTTGGATATAAATGCTCATAGATGCTTTCCAGCCAATCTGACTGAGCTGGAGCTTTTTCACCAGAAGAAGAGCTAAATGTGCAAAGCTGGGATAAATGGATATAGCACTTTTCTGATATTCATTTATATTTAATAACCCCTGCATCTTTTTCCTTCCTCAACACATTTATGTGCAAGTTTGTGCTGGACTATCACATGAACTGCTTATAAAATCAAATTGGACAAGCATGTGATTGCAATGCGACAAAATGCAAGAAGTTTAGATTAGAGAAAACTGGGTTGTTCTTTATGTCCAAGAAATTTTTTGACCGTGTAATAATTAACCATAAACCAGCCACTATTACAATTATTTCCTTTCTTTAGGGTTGTGTTTTCTTAACTCTGTACAGAGTCGTAACTGTCATTGCTGGAGACAGCAGGTGGAAACAACATGGGGACATTCTGGGAACGACGCGCAGCAAAGCACTGGATGGAAATGAATAATGTTGAGCTACTATAGGACAGACAGGAGGATATGGAGAGGGGATTATTTAAAGACAGACTAGTAGTACCTGGTTTAAATGCTGACTCACTTCACGTGATAAAGAACTCATTGAGCTAGAACGTGACAGCTAAAGAAAACAAGTAGGAAGGGAAGAAAGCAGACCAAAAAACCCATCACCCAATATTAATGATCAGTTCATGCATTTGATTAGATCAATTTTAACAACCAAGTTATGAGTGCAACTAATTAAATGTCCATTAAATAACTGCCTTTCTAGAACAAAATAACATGGATGGAATTATATCACAGAGAAATGTGGAATGGCATTCAGCATGAGACAGAGTTAAGGTTGACATGCATGCATCAAGTACTTCTCTTACAATAACTTAAAAGAAGCAAACTATTCATAATGACATTTGCAGTCAAGCCTTATGTCATTATGCAATAAAGCCAGAAAGCAGAGAAAGATGGATCTCACCTCGCCTGATTGCAAACCATCTGGAACAGGAGGTCCTTCTGGGGCTGGCGGTAACAGTGTTGGGTTAAACACCTACAGACGTCAAACAGCAAAATAAAAGATTAGGAATGAGTAAAGTCAGAGCTTTAATGAAAGGTCACAATATCCAACATGCTGAGTGACAGCCAGCAAAAGGTAAAGGGTTTTCCTTAAAACCTGCAAATCTAAATTATGAAAATATTCATATAATTAAACACAGAAAAAAATACCCCAAACTTTTCTAGAATATAATTACAGGGAACCAAATTGTGAGCCTATTTTTAAAGTTCACTATCTAATATAGACTAAAGATTTTTAAAGAGAATAAGCCTTAAATAAATACAAACAGGGAATTTAATTTAATTTTGACAATTGGACAATAAAATCTAGAAATACAATTATTTTCACCATACTCCCCTCTGATTTTTTCCAGATTTATCCATACCTGGAAAATCATTTCAAACAAATTTTATACTGTCCTGCCCTGAATATTCTGCAAACATTTATTAACCAAAAAGCACAGAGACCTGTGGAGCAGCGCTGCTGCTTGGTGAATTCTGCTCTTGATTTCCACCTTCACTGCCTTCCAGGGGTTGTTGGTCATTAGGCGCTTCACATGCAAAGAAAATATTTGATCAAATTTTGCCCATGGTATTCTGCTTTGTTTTCCAAAACTAAACAAAAACTGCATAAGCATTAAACTAACTTTAACAAAATAACTTAAAAGAAGAGCTTCCTCTTGTTGCCTTGTATAGTGGCAACAAAAAGCTTTCAGATGCTACATATCCTATGAATGTATCTAGTTCTAAAGAAGTTATAAGTATTAAGCATCTTACAATGCTGAAATGTAAAGCAGCAAAGCAAAAGATATTCACTCATCTCAGGGTTTTTTATTCTAAGTTCTTCTTTAGCTCATTGTTGCATCATAACACACACCTGAACTAGGCACAAACAGGTTAGCAGGCATGGGCATTGGAGCCAAAGGAGCGAATAGGTCCACTGGAGCTGGGGCCGCTCCACTCGGTTTAGATGTTCTGCTCGGGTTCAGAACATCCACATATCTGCTTTTGGTGCCTGAGGAGACAAGACACACATGTAGGATCCACAATATTATCAAATTTCCATAGGATATCTGCACTGAAAAGGCTTACAGTAGCAGTCAAATGTTCCACCTGTGGCCAAATTGGATATTTTAGCCATGAATGGATCATTTAAGTTTGTATAAGAGGTCAATAGTAATAAATAAGCTATAGGTATGCTATCTTTTAATGTTTAATAACTTTGGGCTATTATATCTGGGGTAAAACTAACATTTCAGCTCAACTGTAGAAGAAACTAGATATGAACCTCCTCTAATTATGTCCACCTGAATCAAACTTGAAATTGTGAGGAGGACCAATGTTGAAGATCATCAGGAACAATCAACTATACTAAAGATCAACCTTTAGTTAAAGTACACACCGCTGAATCAGCAAACACCACCAAGAAGTTCCAGCTCTGAGCTAGACTGAAAATCTGGGGAATAAATCCCAATTCTTGTTTTTAAATACTGTTGAAGACGTTCTTTAAGCTATCTGCCTTCCAACAAAATAGAACGTATTGTTCAAACACATCATTTAAAGATCCATGATTAACAGAACCTCACTGCAGATCATGAGGGTAGGTAAACCTTACATGCTTCTTACCTGCTTTCCTGGAAAACATATTGACGGCAGAACCAGTACCTGGAGGGGCAGGGGGCCCTCCAGGACCAGGCATTTGAGGCATCTTGGGAAAACCAGTGGGAGGTGGAGGAGGGGGCTTACTCTAAGAATTGAAAACAAAACCTATTAGAAATAGGCTTATTTAAGATGCATATTCAAATATTTTAAATTTACCGACCTCTTCTTCAGGTTCATTTAAGTCAACCCATCTATTTTTCTTCTCATCCCAAACAATCTGACAGATAAACACATTGGTCAATTATAATACATTAGAACATCTATCAGTAAGGTGGAAGGCAATAAGGGAAGTTCATAAAACTCACAGAAGGATTTTTGTCATCTGGCAAATGAGCCTCATTTTTCCTCTTCCCAAAGGGCCAAAACGACCAGCCTTTATTCTGCATGCCAGGAAAGAAACAGCCACATTAAACAGAGTATGGCTTTTGTCTGCAGCTTTGAAAATGCTATATGTGAAAGAAGTGAACCTTTTCTGGAGAATCTTTCTTGGCTTTCTTGGGCTCTTCTTTACGCGGCTGTTCGGGGATAGAGGGCGGCGGTGGAGAGGCCTGTTTCACAGCAGAGTTGCTCCGCTCTCTTCCGGAGTGAGTTGATGACTCAGAGGCTCTGCGAGAGCTGCGTCCTGATGGCTGATGACAAACAAATTCACTTTTATTATCTCAACCAAAAGGTGTACCTGGTATACCTTAGCAACTATAGACTACCTTACCAACGTTTAAGGAATTAAATATCACAACTTAAAACTAAATACACTTCTCATTCATCTTTTTTTGTTTTTTCACGCATGCCTCACATTGCTCGTAAAGAGTTAAGCTAACGTTAAAGCCTAAAGACATTTCAAGCTATACACTTTTTCATGCCCAGTCTTCCAGAGACTATTTCTGAAATCTGTGACAAATTTTTATTAGTCAGAACGATACTCAACAACATATATGAGAACCACTGACCCATATATATAAATGATTAAAGGGTTACAATGTTTCTATCCGATTTTTAATGTAGGCTGATTAAATTTTTTTTTTTTCTTATCAGACTGGATTTGGATGTCAATCTCAGTATCAGATGCTTATTACTGACTTAAACTCCCTAAATTTAAGTCAGTAATATTTGTCTTGATTTAATGTTCTTCTTAAAAGCCTTGGTGCGCTATGTATGCTTTAAAAATGTTGCCAGGTTACATCAACATACCAAATGCATTGAAGACTGTGAAGTTGTCCTTGATCTTCTCGAGCCCTGTGGCACCAAACAGAAAAGGTTATGCACTTCCTGTGTGAACCCCAGTTTGCCAATACTGGTGTTCCAGATTGGCAACATTTTGAAATGGGGTCTGAGTTAAAATAATATGTAAGTAAAATAAGATGTGCTAGGCTGATAGAAATACAGGCTGTTCCATACTGACCATATTTGCCATGTGGTCATATAAGTCCATCTGAGGAGTGAAGGAGCTCCGGGGTGGGGAGGACGACATTATATGTGACGGATGCATCTCTGGGTGGGACAGGGGTGGCTGCTCCATGGGGGCCATGTGTCCAGGAGAGGGGGGCATGTGCTGGGGCATCTGAAAAGGTGGGTGGGTCATTTGGACAGGTGAATGTGACACCTGTGATGTAGGCATGTGAGGGGACATTTGGCCCTCTTGTGGAGGAGGACCATGTTGCTGGTGAGCTCCAGGATAAGCATTTGGTTGCTCATGTTGAGGCTGGAAGGGAGGGTGGGCAAGGCCAGGATCCTGTGGATGAAATCCAGGCATGGGGATTTGGCCTGGCGGCCCACTAGGGGGTACAGGGTAGAACTGGGGAACGTCACTGGAGGATGAGAGCTGAGGCGGAGCCATCCCGTCTTGGAGAATAGAAGCAGGAGCTAAAGGGAGTGAAAATGATTCAATCATATGTCAAAAATCAGAGGGACTCATACAGCAGAGAGCAAAAGTTTAAACACATTCACACACACCTGGAGGCATCAACTGCACTCCCTGTGGAGGGGGCCCAGGCACTAATGAGCTCATGAGTGGGTTTTCAGGGGCTTGACCATCCACTTCCAGTGGCATGTTGTAAGGTTCAGGGGGACTCTGGTGATCCAAGTCTGAACTTTCACTGCTGCAGTCAAACTGTGCTGGAGTACTTCTGTCCACATTATATGTAATCACTCCGGTCTTCACAAGAGAGAAGAAAACATCAAACATTTTGCCTAAATGAAACTTACAGCATATGTTTGAATAAATGTAAACAAAAGTAACACTTTAACAATTTTCAATTAAATGTATGATTTAATATTAGTCAACTGAATGTCTAGAATGTCCACCATTACTGGCTAAGATCAACAAAGTAATCAAAGGTGAAGGAGAATCTCTTCCTTTCCTCACCTTGATCTGTCCATCCAGCTGTTTGAGGTGGATCAGCCACTCAGGCTCAATGAACAGCTCCTGCTCAGGTCTTTCCTTAAGTTGTGGATCAAAGAACCGCAGCTTTTCTGACATCTTAAAGCAAGAATATCAAAAATGTCATGTATCAGAATAAAATACGACAAAGACTGTAAAAGTAAACAAGAATCGACTACACACCTGTATAATCTGGCTGATGAACACAGGGGAGTAGTAAGAGGGATGCATGAGGACCGTCTTTGAGATCACTTCACAGTAATGAAAAGCTTGGGCACACAGGCCTGCCTCAGCCAGTCGGCATGCATAGATCAATTTAAACACCTGCAGGAAGACAGAAAGAGCATAGTCCTTATAATATAGTTGGATATAACATTAGAACTACAACAAAAGGTGTGAAACTAAATACTAAATGCTAGAATGACCAAATAAAGTTAAAACTCTCACCTGGAAGTTGGGCAGTGAACAATGCTGGGAGCCCAGAGACTGAGCATACTCATAGGCCTCAGTTCTTTGGATGGCTTCATTGGTGGCAAATTGATTAAAGGGCAAACTGAAGAACAGACAGATAGTTACAGCTTATTATCCGGGGAAAAAATAAAAAAAAAGATCTCTGGAAGACTGTGTGCATTTTGGGCTAACCTGTGGTTGGAGCCAATCAAGACCAACTTGGTGCTTTTCTTGGTGTAAACTCCCAGGCCAACTTGGGCCATCAGGTAGCAGAAATGAGCAGCATCAGTTAGACCCTTAGAAGCTGGACCAAGCAGGAAAAGAAAAAAAATGTTAAGAGGCTACCTGCTTCAAATTAACTTTAAATTACTTCTACTTGATGGTAGCTTTAAAAAATAACCCTACCAAGAGTGTCTCCCATAGTGGTGATAGTGCGGGTGTCCAGGTCCATATTGTGTGTGAGGTTTGAGAGCACCATGGCCAGATGAGGGCGCCAGTCACCCCACCTCTCCTCTCCACAGCACTGTATACAGAAAAAAATTATATATCAACTATTCTTAAGAATAGCAATAAAAAAAAAAGTGATGGATTGAGGACGTACAGTTGCTGAAGCAGGCATTCTTCCTGACATCAGTTGGTACATAGTCTGAAGAGGGTCGTTCATTGGCAAACTATTAGCAAACCTAATCAAGAAGAAAACAGTTTTACTAATGAGAGGAAAAACCAAAAACTCCATTTAAAAATGTAAAACCACAGGTGCTTCACCTCGTCATGACACGTGCGTGTGTCCTGTTGTCCATCTTACTAGCCAACAGCAGAGCGTGACCCCAAAGGCCTCCCTTCATGGCTGCTTCCAGGGCATCCTGTACGCATAGACAATAAAAAAATGTGTCAGATCCATTTAATTCTAAACAATTACATGCCATACAGCTGATCATTTTGTTTCATACCTTTTTGCGTCCAAACAGAAGCAGCTCCCTGAAGCGTTCTGTTTCCTTGCCAATATTTTCCGGGACGATCATGAAAGTGTCGGACAGGAGGGACAACGGCCCAGCTCCAGGCTCCTCTTCAGCTCGCGCAAGAGGTTCGTTGTTAAAATCGATCAAGTTGGCTTCACTGGGACTCTTGCCAGGCAGCCAGACAGAGCGATGTTCCTTCAGCAAAAGGTCAGCGATGTCTGTGCCGACCACAGTCTGAGAAGATGCAAAACGATATTAAAGTCCAAATTCTAATCAAATGCTGAGTATTTTTGATAGTTTTATAATTGCACGCTGACTCACTCCATTCTGTCTACAAAGCAACATGATGAAGTCCCAGAGCAGGCGAGCAGAGTCTCTGTCCAGGAGGTTGTTGTCACGAGAACATTCCATTGCTTTGTTCTGGGAGAATTTGATGACATCAACCTTGTGGGTCTCCTCCCTGATGGCAGAGCACAAGATGTTAGGATGTAATGCATTTCAGTAACAAAGAAAGAAACAAATAGAATTTTTTTTTCCCATTTGTACAACAAATGTCTGGGTTTTTTTTCATAAAGATTGTTATAGTTATACATAAGCCCCATTTACACGTGCAGAGATCAGTCTGAGCACGGTAATCCAGAGAACTATTGAGTGTAAATGGCACCGGACCGTGCCGAACCACAACTGAACCACGTTAAACCTGTACTAGTTCATCAGTAGGGCTTGCCGTAGCTCAGTTCAGGCACAGTTTTTAGATAACAAAGAGTGCATGAGCAGACCACGTCATCTCCTTACAGTCAGCCTCCATAATCATGACATTTCATACATTCATAAAAATACAAGCTTCCCTACGGCGCCACATGATTTCCAGTAATGATTCTGCTTAGCAGTGTGATGAACCTAAACATCTGTCATTTTTTCGTACATCTGTAAGCCTTGATCAGACTATCGTTTATCGTATCCACTTCCCAAAAGCCAACTGTAAAGTAAATTCCCCAAAGGCTGCCTTCTTCGCCCGACTCTCAGCAAACCACAAAAAAAAAAAAATCACAATTATAACCAAACTTCCTTAATATTACGGATGCTACCATTTTGATTTGCTTGTTTACCTCTGGAGAGCAGTATTACCGTAGATTGTCACTAGGAGGCGAGGAACGGTGCTAGAGTGATGTGTAAATGGTCATAAGGAACCAAGCTCGGCATGGTTAACTGATCCAAGCTCGGTCCGAACTCTGACAGGGGCTATTATCTCAGATTCTCATCAATGGGAGCTTTTTAATTTAGTTATATCTTAATGAGTTTAGTTTCACCAAGAACTATTAGAGAAGGGGAAAAATCAAACTCTAGACTTACTTAATCAGAGGTCCAGGGAACCCACGCAGTTCAGCCTGATCAGAGGTGTCCTGCAGCATGGTCTAACAGTAGAGGAACACAAGAAAACCATGAATGTTCTAGAAACATAACGTGCTTTCTGAAAAACTATTGAAACCCAAAGTTGCCTCTGAATATAATGAAAAATAATATATTAAAAGTCTTACTGCTTAAAAACCTTAATAAACAAATACTACCACTTAACAGATTTTTGCAGAAAGGATTAGGTATTTCAATTTTAATGTACCTCCATGTTGTGGATCTCCACCAGAGCTGGCTGCCCGGCTGAGGGGAGATTAGGCAGGACTTGGATCAGATGACCACCAGGTCCAAAGCGAGCACAACGGTGGGGCATGGTATACTTCTCTGGAGTTGCAGGACGAGGAGGAGCTGGAAGGGAAATAATACTTATAGTATCAGTACCCAAGTAAGCTAAGATAAAGAAACACATTTCTACTAGTGCTTAAAACAGTCCTTAGAAAAGAAATTTGCACCAAAGCTGAGGGTGTGTGCTCTTACGTTGCTCTGGGGCAATCCAGGTACTGTCTGCAGTGTATTCTGAGGGATACATGTACTGGCTGTAGTTCTGAGAGGCATCCGCTTGATTTGGGTAGTGCGCATGAGAGTAGTCAACAGGCAGAGTGGATTGGGTTGCATCATAAACTGTAGACAAGTCAGGCTGGCTCCTGTACACCTGGCTCTGCAAAGTTGAGAACAAAACTGGAGTTAGACAATGAATAGTAAAAACATATATATATATTTTTTTTTTACACTTAAACAGTTAAAGATCTTACCTGCTGTGACCGTGAGCTGAAGCTGCTTCGTCTGCTGTGATGACTAGTAGAGCTGTGCACGCTGTGTGCCGACTGCTCACTGTGCACGCTGCGCCGGTCAAAGTCATCCCCATAAGCCTCTCTTCCTCGCATGTTGTCCTCATCAAAGCTGGGATCATACCCAGGGTAGTACTGCCACTGGTCATCATAGCCATCTTTCCTGTGAACGAGCCAACGGCACTTATTAAAACAAAAGGCGTCAATAGAGAGGACACCTCATAGCAGCACCCACAGCTATGCTGCTTTAGACATGATTAACGTCTACAAAGCTTTTTTTATGAAGCATACCTGGCAGGATACTGCTGGTTATAATAGCCATTTTTGTAGGATTCATTGTAATAAGACCAATAGGATTGATCGTAGTATCCCGCGTATCGTTGGTCATACTGTCCGTATCTGTACCCTTAAAATAAAGGTAGAAAGTAAATTAAATTGGTTTAATTTCTTTAATAAATATAAAATCAATATTGTATTAGCAAATAGTTTAGCATATACCTCTATAATCATAGTGTTTGGGGTAATCTGCATAATATTCACTGTAGGTGCTTCGGTTTGCCCGTTGGTAATCTTCAGGATAGCCTTGCCTAATGGGAAAAAACACAAGGTAACATTTCACACAAACCCAACCTTCTACAACATATACAGATTAAACCCAATGTGCATTAAAACGTATTTGTGCGTATGGCCCAACATTCAGACTAATTCTAACAGATGCCCATTTCTGACTCAAACTATGCCCAAACTCCAAAAGGTAACAGAGTGTACTGGAATCATTAATATTGCACTTTGATTTCCCAATAATGTGCAGAACCTCTCAGAAGTACTTATTTAGAAAAGTCAAAGGTAAATTGCTGATCACAGAGACTAAAGATTAAAAATGATCTAACTGAATATAAAAGGGGAATCTTCATACTTTCTTCTTCTATTTATTTCATAAATTATATTCATCTAAATTAAGAAACATTTGTTCAACTATTTTTCAAAAATAATTTTAAATTCCAATAAAGGGCTCCGTCACAAAAGCTGGATATGTTGAAAGTTGTAAACATACATAAGGAAAGCGCTGTGAAAACATGAACCCTGCGCCATTCAGACTCATCGACTCACCCTAAACACTTGCAGGCAGGTGAACACATGGATTACCACCTGCAGGCAGAGAGCTACTTTTACAGCAGGGGTGAAGAGAGCAGGTTAGGAGGGATTCCCAGTCGGCTGAGCTGTGAAAACTAAGAGCGTTTTTTTGTTTGTCTTTGTATCCAATAAAACCTTTCCATTGCTGCACCAGCGTGTATCGCTAACATTGCGTCCAACAACAGGATTGAAAGAAAAAACAATGGGCTTAATTGGCCAAGAGACATAAAAAAAAAAGACAGAAGGTATAGGTATAGAGTAATAATTATATATATATTTATATACCTTCGGGTTGTTTTTGGCCAATAGACATTTACAGAAACAAAGTGGCCGAAACTTGTGCTGATGCGACAAACAGCACAGCCAAAATGCAGAAACGTTGTCAAACGCATGCTGTAAAGCAAGAGAGCCCAGGTAGTGCAGCAGATTTGATGGGAGTTCAGCGCGCAGCAGATTGATTTTGAATGAAGGGGTGTTTATACGCTACATGTTGGTCTCACAGCACTCTCAGAAAATGCAGAAAATGCAATAGAAATCCAAATAACTCTATCACCATTCTGAATATGAGAAGAATGCGACACTGAAAAGGAAGCAGACACTAAACATGCCCACTCCGTATGTGGCGGACGTGTTTGAAAACAGAAAAAGTTCCCCGGTTATTCTGCTAAGGTAAAGGGCGTAACAAAAAACATCAGCAGTAAATAAATATTTTGGTACTTCTGTGTCTGTTTTTTTAGTAGATATCGTAGCCAAAATGCTGTGATTTCATTATTTAACAGGATAACTTCTTTCTGTGTTTCGCCTTTGTTTGCTAATTTGTCGTTTTTAGCCAAGAATGTTCATCTCAGTGCATCCCTAACTATAATACAATTATCAGTACTCTCCGGACATTACCTTCATAACAGTTGACTGCCATGCTGCATTTGTATGCAACTCAAATATCAAATTGGAATACAAAAAAAAAAAAAAAACAGGCCTTTAGGAATAGCTGAATGTTGATACAATACTTAGGACCAAGTTTCCAAAAACAAACAAACATTAAAAATAAAACTTTTCTCAAAGGATTATAGATCGTTGTGGCGAAGGACAGTGTAAATATATAATCTTTGCAATAAGACTAGCCGTTTTACTAACCTGGATGAGGGCCTGTCGGAGTACTGACTGGCCCTAGAACTGGGTCGGTCAGATTGTGGCTCTCTGTATTGGTAGTTTGGATCACGGTAACCTGGGTTCTGTGGGTCGTATCTGCCATACCAAGGATCGGCTCTTCCCCGGTAGGTAGTATCCTGAGCAGAAAGCAGAAAACAGCTGATAAATTAAGGAGCTCCACATGGCTACAAATGCGCAAACATGTTAGTTGGTCAGAGGCTATAGTAGAGCTTCTAAGTGTAGGATGAAAATGGCTGCAACACTTACTTGATAATATGGCTGCACTCTAGGATCTCCAGCTGGAGGTGGATAATGGCCAGGAGGATACTGCCCTCTGCTGTCTGGGTACTCGCCATAATTTCCATAGTAACCACTATAGGCCTGTCCTGCTACAGGAGGAGGTGGATGCACATAGCCTTGATGGCTCCCTGCAGAGGAAGGAGGTCGTGGTGCCTCAGCTGGAGCTGGCTGAGAAACCCCTGGAGGTAGTGGTCCCTGTGGAACTGGTGGATATGCTGCAGAAGCAGCAGGAGGAGGAGCAGGAGTGTTTCCTGCAGCAGGATCTTGTACCAAAGTTGAATATTGACCATGAGAAGGTTGGGTTCCACTAACAGGAACAGGAGGGGCATCCCTCTGTCCCTGCATTGCAACCTGAGAATCAGATGTTTTCGGAGGTTCATTTTGCATCAGCTGAGTGTTAGCTGCAGCTTGAGTGGGTGCTGTTGATGCCTGTGAGCTGGATGAAGGAACTGTTGTCTGGACAGAGGCATTCCCTACATCTCGTACCCCTTGTTGAGCATCTTTGGTGACCTGCAGGTAAAACCCATTACTAGACTGTGATGCTTCATGCAGAGAAGACGGCTGGCCATATGCATGGCTCTGGGCGTATGATTGGTGCATAGAAAAATCAAGCAGTTCGTAGTTTAATGTTGAATTATGATTAGAGACAGAAGTAGTCGCAAGAGAAGTAGGTTGTGAATTAACACTAGAATGGCTTTCCGCCCCCAATGATTGGCCCCGTGAAAGAGGAGGATGGACTTGTTGAGAGAGTGGTGGAGTTGGGATTTCTGATGTTGCTCCGGCTGATTTATTACGAGTCAGATTGAGTGGGGCCTGACTGGGAGCAGAGGAACAGAAAGGCCCGGACCCAGAAGGAAGGAGAGGATTTTGTTTAGGTGGGGCTGAAGATTGGGAGGCATTAGCACCTAGCCCCTGGGTGAGAGATCTTTCGGCAGGAGTCACATCTCCATGATTAGACTGAGCTGATGATTGGGTAGGAATACTGGGAGGAATTACACTGTAATTGGATACAGGCGGGGCAATTAAAACAGGTTGGTGGGGTGAGCCAGAGACAAGCAGAGATGCATAACCTAGGCTGCTTTGAGAGTCAGCTGGCTCTGCATCACTCACCTTTGGTGGGTTTTCTAGGTTCTCTGAGTGCTGCTGACTGGCTGTGTGAACTCTCTGAGAGGGCTGCAGGTCCAGTGGACTATCTTCTGGTGGTTGGATAACATCAGCACTGGGTTCTCTTAAAGGGGCCAACACCGTCGGTGCTGCAGGAGCAAGGAGGATGTTAGCACCCAAGCTTGCAGGATCGTTCTGAGCCCACAGAGTAGTGGCCGGACTCTCACAGGGCCGTGTGGCCCCAAAAGCACGAGAGGAAGGTCGAGAATAAGAATGCACCACTGGGTGTGTTTGATTAGGTAACCCATCTGCAGGAGCAGAGGCTGCAGCTTGTCCTGACCCAAAAATGTTTTCCATATTGTCTGGTGGCTGTTCCAAGTTACCAGATGTACAATCAGCACCTCCTTCAGCGACCATTTTAGCTCGGTCAACTTCCACAGGACGTACTCCAACTCCGTGCGAGCGAACAGGTTCAAATGAGCTATTTGCACTTGCTTGGAAAATACCCGTTGGTTTCGGGGGGCTGGGTGTTGGGTGCCACATATGCTCTACCGAACCCTGGTGGATGCCCACCTCACCACCTGGAGATGTATCAATCTGTTCGAAGTAGCCTCCAGCAGCGGCAGCAGCCGGAGGAGCGCTGGGATTATCGACGAGACGCGGGCTTTCCTGCTGAATAAAAGTTCCTTCGACTCCCTGGTGCCGACGAGGGCCAGTTCCACTTCCATGGCTTAAATTGCTGTAGTTGGATGACACACTCGCGGATCTCATTGGTCTTGGAATAGAATCTGGAGTTTCCAGATTGGGTCCTGTTTCAAACTGTTCTACTGCGTTAGGTGCAGCAGTAGCACTGCTGCTGGATTCATTGGGCAGAACTTCCTGGTTTGGAACACACTCCAAATTCTCAACATGGTCAAAGTCACTCTCTGGAGGCTTCTGGTTGTGTCCCTGTGAAGGATGACTGCTTTCATTCATGTATGGAAGGCATGAATGATCCAGAACAGAAACTCCTTGGTAATCCACAGAGAGATCTGGATGACTGCTCTGGGCCGGTGGGTTACTGTTAGGCTGAAATGATGTGGCAACACCGTTTAACGCCTTATTTCTTTCATCAGCAAGCGTTTCTTCATTTTCCACATCACTGCCTTTGAAAAACATTGAGATTGTACCCGAGTCCTGAGCGTATGCATCAGAGGAAGGGGCAGAACTCGGCCCGGGTTGGCTGGCAGGCCTGTACCCAGTGTTGGAAACATGAGGGGATCCAGAGAAGTCTGTAGGGGGCGGAGGATGGCTTGAGCCAGTACCCATTTGGTGGTAGCCTGAGTCCTGTGCAGGTTGGTTGAACCATAAATCATGGGGCGCAGAACTCTGACTGAAATAACTCTGGGTTTGAAAATTTAAATTATGCTGCGGAGGTCCATTTGGGTCAGGCAACAGAGAGCTGGCAGCTGGTCCAGGGTTCTGAAGTGGAATAGGAGGGGCTTGACTCTGGGGATTTCCGGGATGAGCTAAAGGGGTAGGGGCATTGTGGTGGGGTGATTGGCTGTGGGTGGGGTACATCTGGGTCTGTGGTGGTATATTAGAGGGTCGTGCTGGTGGATCAGTAGTTGGTTGGAAATAGTTCTGAACTGAGGGAGGGCGGCTAGAGTGATCAGGAACCCACTGAGAAGACGAAGATGTTAGAGGGAGAGGTTGAAAAGGTAAAGAATGACCAAGATGTTGGGCCTGAAAGTCCTGGTTAAAAAGTGTGTTACTAGGTGCTGGTACCGTATGGGATGCATCTGTAGGCATAGATGATGTTGGATCTCTTGAATTGAAATAATCCTGTTCGCTGTTAGCCGACGAATAGCCTGTGGGACTTGGCGATGGGAAACCACCAGGAGATGCTGCACTCTGAGGGGTGAAGAGAGTCACCCCTGGTAGAGAGGGTGGGGGTGGACCAGCTCCTGCAGCTCCAACGTTTTCCAGCATTTGCGGTTGTGGAGGGAGTCCAGAGCCAAGCTGAGAGTACATGACGTTAGGTGGAGTTTGCATTTGTGGAGGGTTGCTGTTAGGTATTGTAGGAAGACCTCCTGCCGCCATGGGGGGTTGAGCTCTGCCAAAAGCAAAAGGGTCTGTAATGGGCTGAGCAGGAGGAGGCCTGGTAGCTGTCGCTGACGTTGCCTGCTTTTGAGGCCTTATCCTGCCTGACCTACTAGGGGCAGAGACGCCAGGCACGCCACCCCGAGGAGCTGGCTGCATGTCTGCAGAGCAAGTCCAAGGACCAGATCACTTTGAGAGATGTTACTGAAGAAACCAAAGTCAGGCGTAGCTGAAAGGAGAAAAAGAAGGTGGGAGTGGTTAATGAAAGCTGCACAGGTTCCATTTATGGGACATCACCACACCTTTATTTGTGTAGAAAATACAACGTGGCAGCTTCTGCATCAGAAAGTGTTTTAACTATTTATATGTCCAGTCGGTATTTCCCTTTTCACATATTTGTAAAATGCAATTGATATTTAAAAGGGAAAAGTTATATTTAATTATGCTTTTCAGTTTCCTTAAATTTTAAAACAAATATGAAAAAGATGCTTCCATCTTACAATGGCAAGTAAAAATTATGTTATTACTTATAGACCTCTAGAGTACGTATTTTGGAATTGGTGTTGCTTATTAAAGCACAAACACAAACATGCATATAATGATGATTGAAAACACAGCTGGTCAGCCACATATTAATTTCCTTAAACACAATTTCACAAATTAAGCTTTGATGAGTGAACTGAAGAAAAAATACTTTAGCGTAAGTAAATCACAGTCAACAATGCAATCTCTAGGGTTATAAGAACATAGCAGTTTGAAAGGCCCAAAATATAAAACGAGGGAGAAAAACTTTTGAAAGATTTTAATAAATAATAAAATTAAGGTCTCAGTCATCTGAAATAAGTGCATGAGGATGCTTCCTTTGGGAGGGTTGATTTTATAATTAAAAACTGGCATCAGATTAGCAAAACACAAAGGAACACTTTCTTTGTGTTATAAATTATAAAATAAAGATAAAAATCGAAACAATGATTGATTCATTTAAATAAATCAGCATTCATTTCAGAGGGCCATATGCCATTATTATCTTTAAATGAAACCATAAACTTTAAATCACCTCTTCCGAGTCACCAGATATGCAAAATAAAAACAATTGCTTAACCTCTTGGGGCTTTTTTTAAGGTAAAAAGAACTAACAAAACTAACTAACAAAATCTATATTATCTTACGGTCAAATCAAATACAATGCAAGAATGCATTATCTTAAGAGGTTTGACTTGTGTTTTTGTGCAGCTGTCAGATGGGAAGCTCATGCGATTTGGATGAAATTGCAATGCTAGGGAAGCGGATCAATAACAGTCACAGCTCACACGGATGGTAAAGAAGCTCAGTCAGCCAGGAGAGTGACCCAAGATCTTTTAAGCGATCAGATTACTTTTTTTTCCACTAACAACCCGGTATGCTAACGATAGCTATGTCGAGATTTAAAGTTACAAACAGCCCAAAAGTTAGCGATAAACCTGCAACTTGTCACCAATATATAGAATCAGCTGTTACATAACCGAGGCTAGCTCTCCTTATTCAGACCAGACATTAAATGACCGTTAAAAATGTAAGCCGTCTTGATCGAAGGGTCCAGAAAGGGTGCTTTGGCTCAACAGCTAGCATGGAAGCTACATATCCCCAACGGAACACATAGAAAATACTATTGCAAATGAGCTAAAATCATACAAAACCTATTAGGGAGATGGACGGGATGTTGACTTAACAGGAAGTCTTTCTTGACAGGAAAACACACGGCTAAGTTACGTGTCCCTGAGCGATCTCCGAGGGCAATTTAACAGGTTCACTGCCTGGTCAGCTAGCCTTAGCACCGCCGCTTAGTTAGCACCGCCAGCTAACTAGCCTGTGCTAACTATAGGTTAACAGTGAGACTCCTCTTCATGACAACACTTTAAAACTTTGATAATACCACTTGGCTAACTTTGTTGTGTGGTTAATCTAAAAATGATGTCAAAAACATAAATTAATCAAAACAGATTCTTACAAATATGCAGGACTGTAAGTCTCACACAGGGCCGCCATCTTCAGTGAACACATTCTACTAGGCTACGTGTACAAGCTCCGTCACGGCCCAAACAAAAGTTACGTCCAAAAATGGGCGGGGCTTGTCAGGCTCTTGCATTGGTAACAAATCGAACACTGAAGGGTTACTCATTACATAAAATGATTTTTCAAACACACACCCTCCTTTATAACTTTGAAATAAATATAACTTGAAATTAGTAGATCTTAAAACTACGGAAGACGACTAAGGCCACTGAAAAAAGTTAACTGATTTTTAAATTGTATTTCAGTTTAACGAAAAAAAAAAAAAAAAAAAAAAAAAATCAGAATTCTGACTTTAATCCCAGAATCAGAATTCTGTGAAAAAATAAGAATTCTGAGATTACAGTCAGAAATCAGAGAAAAAAATTAAGAATCCTAAGATTAAAGTCAGAAATCTGAGAAAAAAAAAATCTGAATTCTGACTTTAATCTTAGAATCACAAGTCTGAGAAAAAAGTCAGAATTCTGACTTTTTTCCCAATATTAAACTGAAATAAAATTTAAAAATCAGTTAACTTTTTTTTTTTTCCTCAGTGGCCCTAATCCTCTTCCGTATAAAACATATTTGGAATACAGCTAAAAAAACTAGGAGAAAAGAACAATACATCAACCAAAATAACCATATTACTTAATCTCTCAATCTTTTTATAGCACACTTGTTTATCTATTCTGTTTTTATGTATGTCTTCTATATACTTTTGGTGTAAATTATACAATTAAGCTTTAACTACTGTTTTCCAAGTTGGCTATCATTTAACAACTTAAATAAATAAATAAAAAAAAAAGCTTACTCATACAAATTCTTTTCATGCGTTTTGACTTAGCTCAATGCATAATCAGTTTTTAGAGCCTACGTGTATTCTATTTATTATGCAAGTTGTTTTGTTTTTCTTTTCTTTGACATCTGTCAGACGGTCATGGATTGCCCACGAGGCAGGGTTAAGCCATTTAATTTCTTTTTGAAAGAAGCTGGCAATTTATAGTGCTATCTTCAAGCATTTTAACAGAAAGTTGAGTGGAAGGACAAAGAATGTTAGAAAAGGATGGATATGACACAATCATGATCACTGACTAGTGAGAATTGTGAAGCAAAAAACATCTGTGAATATTACGGTAGCTCAGAAATCAGAACCTTTGTTACTACCAGTGATGGGACTAACGGCGTTGAAACTAACGGCGTTACTAACGCCGTTACCTTGTTTTAGTAACGAGTAATCTAACTAATTACCTTGACTGTAACTATAACGCAGTTACCATTGCAGGCACCCCGTTACTGCGCGTTACTCAGGTCGCACAATGAACCTTTTTTCATGATAGGACTCGTGCGCAGCTGCGTGAAGCTGACACCCCACCCACGTCAAAAAACTCTGCAAATAGACTGAATGGTAAGTGCAACGTTAGTGCAGATTTGTGCAGAAAAAAATATTGTTTGTGCTACTTTTGTTTAAGAGATATTAAGGATTATTTTTTTAGGTCATCCAGAGGTGCGCGCCTTGTCATGAGAGAGGGGAGGATGAGATTCCGTCTGTCAGTTGAATAGGTGGGTGTTTCTGCTGGTGGGTGTTAATGTACAGCACACACAGAGAGATGGAGAGTGAGGATGACTCCAGCAGCAAAACAGCGTTTTCCACATGGAAATACCGGTGTTACGTAGAGCTGCGTTTCCCCATCACATACCGGTTTCCTCTGCATCTCCACACAGCGCAGGCGGCAAGAGTCACCGCGCAAGCGACAGGAAACGCGCATGCTCGCTAAAGGCGCGCAACAGTCGCTCTGTGCTCGCGCCACAGGAGAACTATGGAGAGCGTGAACGATCAAATGAACCTGACAACAGCCAGAAATGATAGCCTATATGGAGAAAGGGAGAAATCTGGATGGATGGATGGATGGATGGATGGACGGACGGACGGACGGACGGACGGACGGACGGACGGATGGATGGATGGATGGATGGATGGAAGGATGGATACTCTGCCTTCTCAACCTACTGTATTTTTTATTTTAAACATTATTTGATGGCCTTTGTGGCAGGGATGGAGATCCATATTTTATGTCACACACAGAGTATAGATAGATAGATGGATAGATAGATGTTGCAGTATCTATAACAACCCAAACACACAGGATTTCAGAATTAGACATCCCCAGTTATTAATTTCATATACTCACCGGATCTGAATGTCCTGTTATAAAACTTCACATCGCGTTCCCCCTGATGTCATTTACGTTGAGTTGCAATAAATGCTAAACTGTCTGCAGGTTCTTGTCTTTGTCGTCCGCTCTATTCAGCTGGCTTTGGAAACACAGGCGAGAAGGTGGGGGCTGGGTGGTGAGGGTTACCGGGGCGGGAAACGCAAAAGTAACGCAATAGTTACTTTTACTAGTAACTAGTTACTTTTATTGTGGAGTAACTCAGTTAGTAACTCAGTTACTTTTTGGGAGAAGTAACTAGTAACTATAACTAATTACTTTTTCAAAGTAACGTGCCCAACACTGGTTACTACTGTCTCAAAGTTTCTTGCTTGAGCGAATGCAAATTTTTTTTGTATAGCACAATTCAGTCCATGAACAATTCAAAATGTTTTGCATGAATTAGATAATAAAATAAAAATAAAAGCAGAATCAAAACAAAAACATTTGCTAAACAAATAAAAAAAAATTAACACAAAAAAACAGAATAAAAGCAAGTTAAAAAGGAAAAAAAAAACATGATAACAGCAGGTAGAGAAGAAAATAAAACAGTTGGATCACACCCTTAAAATAATAATACCTCAATTAACAGTTTAACTTCAGCAGTCAAAGGCAGCTCTAAACAAATGGGGGTTTAACTTTGGTTAAAAGAACTCAGGCTTTCAGCACTTCTACAGTTTGTTCCAGATAGGAATTTAATTCTGCCTTTAAGTCTGTAACGAATTCTTATAATGTAAGTTTTACTTTTAAATCGACCAAATAAACTTTTTTTTTGGTATAAAATCTGATCAACCTAGAATACAACTACTGTAGAGTACATGGAAGTTACGTCAGTGTAGTAGTCATATATTTTTATATACCCACTGGGGGGCGCCAGAGTGCCATTTAACAGTCGATCAACCCTGATTCCTCAGCTTTTCGGGTAGTATATATATTTACACACCTTAAAGATGGAAAAATAACATTGATTGGAGTAATAAAAAAAATTAAATATGCAATGTATTAATAATTGAATGTGAATATTTATGAATATATGGGAGTGGTGGCCTAGTGGTTAGGGCATTGTGCTGGGATCCCAGAGGTTCTGAGTTCAAGCCCCACTCCCACAGTCTGCCACTCTGGGTCCCTGAGCAAGACCCCTACCCCACACTGCTCCCCGGGCGCCAAACAATGGCAGCCCACTGCTCCCCAAGGGGATAGGTTAATGAAGAGAGTTTATTTCATTGCTCTGGACTTGTGACAGCATAATGATTATAAAGTTGAATTCTATTCTATATTTGTAGTAGGTGCTTGCTAATTAGGGTTTAAACAGAAATGTATATGAAGATAAATAATGTATAACAAAGATAAATAAATTCAGGGTATTACTGAAGATTATCAAAAGGTGCATTCTTCTACCAGTGGCTCTTCCCTTTCGTAAAATTGTAGGGTAAAGAGTACGCCCTGGACTGGCCGTCATGGCCATCAACAGAGACCCCTGAGGGTATATAGAGACACCAATTAACATATGTTTTTAGGGTGTGGGAGAAAATCGGAATACAAGCAGTTCATGCACAGTGAGAACATACAAAATTCACAAAGAAAGATCCTTGGCTTGGATTTGAGGTTTATTTAATGTCCACTATGATTTATCACAACAGCTCTGCCTTTATGGAGATTATTGGAATGAGCTAAGAGACAGTAGGGTAAACAGAGAGGTAATTTGGATACTTTCACTTTTTGGGAAAGTAAAATCCCAGACAGGGATATTCTATGATTTTGATTTAAAAGTAGTGTCATCTTTTTATTATGGTCACATTAGATCCTGATTTAATGCAGATTGAATCACACATTGAGCTGGAGCTGGACAAAGCCATAATTTCTCACAGTTATGGTAGAGATACTGTAAGGACCTCAGCAGATTAGCTGGGCCTACTTTTCATAAACAAGGAAAGTGAGTTTAAAAACAATGCAGATTTCACTAATAAATCAGGGGGGTGGGTAACGGTGTAACAGCTGTGGTAACAGGGGGATGGCGGGTCCTTCTCCTGATGAACTTATCTTAACATTAAACTGTTTTGACATGTCTGAGAGGAGCAATGCTTCAAGAAAGACTTTTGCAAGACAAGTCACAGGGTTGGTCCTGACAAATTCCCACACATAGATTCACTGTGCCGATAGAAACAAATAGCTCTGCGTGGATGGAAACTCCTCTGAGACTGTTTCCAGGCAATCTCCGGCATCTAGACGGGAAGCACAGTCCTCTCCCGGTGAAAATGAGCAGAGCACTCTGGATGCTTCCCTGCCAAATGCTGAAACATCCCCAGCTGGCTCCTCCCGGACCCCTCCGGCTTCCACACCTTCTCCAGCATCGGCTGTCGATGCTAAATCTGCCGATGGCACCAACCCAGGGGACTACCACCCTCACAGCATCATCATCATCGTCCTCTTCCTACCCTGAGCCAGAAGAAGTGAGTTCTTCAGGAGCTGGAGGCAGTAGTAGCAGCTCAACAACAACTGCTGCTTATCTAATCAAGGCTGCACTTTAAAAAATGAAATTGTCAAGAGAGCTATTCTACACGGAATTTCTTTTTGTTTACAGTTCTGTATACAAAATGATAAAATAAATCTGTCTAAGTCTATACTCACACCCCAAGACACAAACACACACACAAACATACTGGTTCTGGCATCGTAGTGAGGACCATGTATTGACTCCCATTGACTTCCATTGACTTTCAGTCATTTACAATCCTTTCTATGCCCTAACCCCAAAACTAACCCTAAACCTAACCATTACTAATGCATCCCTCACTCTAACCCTAACCGATTGACACCTTAGCCCTAAACCTAACCATTAGCA